GTGATGATATTCTCTCTCCAATGTCTACTTCCACTCCCACCACCCACCCACCCACCACCCCGGGTCAAACAGCCTCCTAATAATCATGCCTTGACTCACTGTCAACGATGGAAGCATACGTCATCGCTTCCAGAACGGGGGGAAGTAAACCGAAGAGAATTTTTTTGATAAAAAAGCAAGGTTCGAATGGATTTGCCTATAGCTTACAGGCCAAGTTGCTTTCTTCACCCTGTCTGAACCTTAGTGGTAAAATAATAATAACAATAATACTTACATTTGATATAGCCCCTTATCACGTCTTCCAGACGTCTCAAAGGGAATTGACTGTATATTTTGTGGGCGAAACGATATGCTTATAACCTAACCCAGAACTAAAGTTATACATTAACTTTTGGAGAAAGGAGCACCTACACAATCCATCTTTGCAGCAAGCACACCTCCAAAGGGCTGCTCCAACTAAGCAATTTGAAGAATTACAAGAATTTATAAAAAAGTAGAGCCACATTTTTAGTACCAGGAACCTGGAAACTGCTCACACTGTGTGTGCAAAATGCAAGCAGTCAACTACCACCATTTCACAAAAAAAAAATCACCAGCTTGTGCCAAAATACATAATTTTCCTGCCTTAAATTTGACTTAACGCAAGTCATCTATCTCCAGGGCAATTTCGCCAAGTATTGTATTGCTGTTAATAACGCTCAACTCTTGAGGGTAGATAAGAGGATGGCAAGACCTTATGAAACGTATACTGTAGCACAATTGATCAATGCACACAAATCACCGCGCGGTCCTCCAACTAAAATTACCCGATAGAACGGCAAGACGTGGTAATTATCTTAATTTCTTCAAAGTTACAGCAGAAATGCTACACAATCCAATGCATGAAACTATGAATAGGCAAAGCTTACTACTGTACTAGTACCTCCCCTTTACATGAAGCTTACTCTGAAACTAAAGCTCTCTTAAGACTAAAGTGAAAAAAATAACATATCAAAACAGACCGGAGATACGGATACAATCTGAAGCAAGTTTTCCACTTCTTTCTCCTCACTTTCATTCGGCTTTTCTATTTTTATGCATTTGTTCTCATTTAATCATTATTTTTTTGGCCCCCTGTAACTTTTGATTTTGTTTTCCAACAGATGGTCGAACGTCAAAATTAACTGATTCAATGGCTTGAATGAAGTAGGAAAGATTCAAAGGATGGGAAAGATTCATTGCTGCCACTTCAAGGGTTGAAATTTTTTTTAATAAAAAAAAATCCCATTACTAAAGTCAAAGCGACACATCAAACATCAGCTACAATAAATAAGCAAGATTGCCCTGGCTACTCACCAGTCAGTTGGTAACTTCTTTACGACTTGAACCATTTTTATTTGGCTAACAAAATTAGAAAAAGAGGACCGGTTTAACAAAATCACAATTTAATACGTTGACTGATGTAAATTTCCAAATAGCCGATTAAATTGTAGAACTGCATACAGTACAAGTTGGTACAAGCGACACCTAGAAAATCGTGGACAGCAATTGCCCTGCGGAATATTAAGTAATTTACTTTCTTTCCTTCTCGCACTATCTGCCGACTTTAAACTTGTAAAGCTGAACACTTAATTCCACAGCAATGTAACAAAACCTCACTTTTTTAATAAAAAAATAAAGGAAACGAGAACCCCAAAAATGAGTTTATACACTAAATTAATCCACAGAAGGGCTCTCTCTCTCTCTCTCTCTCATTGTGGGTGTTCCACTTACATTCAGCCCTCCACCCACTTTTGAACAGGAAATTTGTAATGGAAAACACCTACTTTATTGCCTTTCTTTTAAATAGTCGTTTTTACCGTGAAGCCCCCATTTGGAAAACAAAAAAGGCAACCAATGACTGCGTTAGCTCTACAGCAGTTTCTGACGTTTGAAATAAAACACTAGCCACAGCTTATTTCACAGCAAGTGAAATAAATTCAATAATAGGCCTCACTTCAATTAATATTTAGAGCTTTCAGTGTTTCTGAAACAATCCCACATTAGCAATCACCAAGTGTCACGTGCTTATAATATTCTTTAAAGGGAAAAAAAATGAAAACCTTAAAAAGTATAACGTTTCGCTCAAATTCATCCATCCCCATGTTGAATAGTAGGAAAATAAATGAAGCTGAAGAGGTGAATGAAAACTTTGGAAAACTGGAACAAATAAGTGAACAAAACTGCAAGATGCTGTACATTACTCAAATATTCTGCATTCCAAAGATATTCTCCCACTTCTTTTGCGAAGGAGTAAGACTGCCCGCGAACGCTACCCATTAATATATTCAGCCACACCACTTGATCATTGCTTGCAACCTGTCTCCATTATTTGGGAACAAACTCGTCCATAAAACCCTCTCAATAGTCGAAGGCATGGAATCTTTCAGAACCTTCACAACATTTTAAAAACATTGGCACCAATTTACAATAGTGCAATTGTTTTCAGAAGGATCCTTGTTGCAGGGGGGTGGGGGGGGTTAGAGACGCAAGACTTTCTCCCAGCCCCTGAGCCCCCAGATTTCTTGCGATTTCACTACCTGGTATCGTTGACTAAAACAGACCAAGTGCTACTTCTGTGAATCGAACGGTCACTTGCGTATTTGCTCTGAAGAGTGTAGAGGCGACGGGTACAGAAAATTGTAGCAGATCACGGCTCGGCCTAGCTTGCGAAGGACACGGCTCGCGAGACACGACAAGCTTCAAATCTGAATCCGAATCTCTGATAAGTCAACCTATTTCAGGCCAGGACGAGTGGACTGATTCTACAGTTGGCCTCAACAGCCCTGGGGCGGGATGAATAAAGAGGAAAAGGTCGGGGGGGGCTCCCTCTCTATTGATCGCTCTCTAATAACTCTTACAGATTTAAGGCAAGGAACAGGACCTTGTTCATCTATATGTCTTCACTGGTAGAACAGCACTCCAACTTTACCTGCGTGAGGTCACATGTAAAGAATGGCTACCAACGTAAGGTACTCAAGGACTGCCAAAGACTCAGTGGTTGGTTGTTTGTCTTAAAAACGTCTCGTTCCTCGGGAGTTATGGGGGGGGGGGGAGAGGCAACAACATGGTATGGCAGCAATACTGCCATTTAGGCAACTTTATTTTACTTCTTTATTTTTTTGCAGCGGTCGCCTTGTAGCGGAATGACTCTTTCATCTATCGACTTGGACTTGTGATGCGGAGCACAAATCAATACTGCTGCCAGAAGGATTTTGGATGCAATGTTAAATCGTCTGGTGGTTGCGCTGAACCAGCACATTATGTTGGTTTGTTTAGCTTTCCATCTTGGTCACCAGTTTTTCCAACTTCAGATATCCTTTTTTTAAATTATTATTATAATAATAATAATAATAAAAAAAACTCCTTTGAAAATACCTTTTAAGGGTTAGTAATCACCTCGATACCGACGACGTGTTATATTCTAAGCCCTTGAACTTCTACAGCTTTCAGAAAGTCCAAAGTAAGAGTCAGTCTAAATAGCCAACTGCTAGCATCTCTTGTTAAAATGTTCAAATAGTGTTCACTTTTGAATTTTCCTTCCCTCAATTTCTGCCAACACACACACACACACACACACACACACACAGAGGGGGCCAGGAGCTTCGCATCTAAGTACTCGTATTTGCCTGCAATTTAAAAGTCTGCTGTTAATATCTTTACAAATGCAGCAAAAAAAAAGAGCAGGGGATCGCGTACAAGTTCAGTGGCTCACGGACCCGCTTGCCAAACATTAAAAACAAACGTGGAAATCGACACAGGTTTGTTTGGTGGCCACGAAGGTTAACAAAAAAATATATATGTACGTACACACGCGCACATATATATATATATATATATAAAAATGGGGAAAACCATCTCTGGACATCTCAGCGCATTGTGTAAACTCCAACCAGGAAGTGGTTGAATGGGACCACAACAGCCTCCAAATATAACGTGGTTCAAATCCAGGAACTTCTGTGGGGGTTGGATCTATGAAATGGAGACAGTGGGCGAACTTTAACACTCCTGTCACTGTTTGCAGCCTTATTGTGTGTCAGGTTTTCCTCCCATGTGGATTCTTTCTCTTCCCTCCCTCCTTCCCCAGCTCATCGGTTCTTTTTATGTATATATATATTTTTTTTAAAAATCAGCAAATACACGACTATGGATTAATAATGGTTACTAATCGTCCAAACGTCACATGTTAGCTGTCCAAACGGACAGGTCAGCAATGCAGTACGTTAGTCAGATCCAATTGCGTTCCCGAATCAAAAAAACATTATTTCAATGGAAATCAAGAGTAGAGCAACAACATGAGCTCACATAATACAGCTGTGATAGATTCTAAATACCCTTATACTGAAATAAGGAAATCAAGGCAAATACTCAGGGGTTGCAAACAGCCAATAAAATAAATATATAATAATTCTACATATATTATATATAAATAAAGATACAGGCATTCCCAGCATTGCACACATCCTGTACAAGCTTATGATTCCCACCACCTCATACCAGTACTACCTGTTACTGGCAAAAGGATGCCTTGGGGGGGGGGAAAAAAAATCCACAATCAATACGATCCATATATATATATAATACAAAAAACACACCTTAATCCAAACCACGCTGATGACAAAAGCTCTTTCCACACACGTCCATTACATTACTAAACCCAGAGTAAGCAGGAGGTCAGTGGAATGAATCATTTGTGTCTGATTTGGTTTTATTACTAAAAAAAATGCATAATTTCCCCCTTTTTTTCAAAGCGGGATAAAGTTATCCGATATTTTTCTACATGTGTATATCTATATGTATATATAAATATATAACACACACACATTTAGATCAAAAAGCTGAAGGTATTTTAACGGGAAATTTTTTTTTAAACACGCGCACACACACACACACACACACACACACACAAAAAGATGTTAAAAAGACACAGCAGGAAATAAAGAAAGAGGTTTATAAAAAAAGGAAAGGAAAGGAAAGCTCGTTCCCTCTCTGTCTCTCTCTCTCTCTCTCTCTCTCTCTCTGTGGTAGTCACTGGTTAAGTTAAATCTGGGTTGATCTCACCGGATAATCCCCTTTATAAACCAATGTCCAAACAGAGTGTGGGGGGGGGAAGGAGGGGAAACCAGAGCACAAGGACAAACGCACACGGGGTCAGGTTTTTTGGTGTGTGGGGGGGGGGGGGGGGGGGTACAATACCTTTCACAGGCCTCAGCTCACCAACCCAGCACAGACCAGCCCTCACCTCACCGCTCGGGCTGGCAGTTGTTTGGTTGGTTTCTTGCTGGTTTCTCAGCGAAAAGCCCGGGTTGGAGCTGAGTGGATAATCCCCTTCCTAACCCACCCTCCGAACAAAGTGGGGGGGGGGGAGGGGGAGGGGGGGGGGAGGAGGGCGGGGGAGGGGAAGGGCGAAGTGAGGGGGAGGGGGAAGGGGGGGAGGGGGAGGAAGGGCGAAGTGAGGGGGGAGGGCGAAGTGGGGGGGAGGGGAAGTGGGGGGGAGGAAGGGGAGGAAGGGCGAAGTGGGGGGAGGCGAAGTGGGGGGGAGGGGAGGAAGGGCGAAGTGAGGGGAGGGGGAGGAAGGGCGAAGTGGGGGGGAGGGCGAAGTGGGGGGGAGGGGGAAGTGGGGGGAGGGGAAGTGGGGGGAGGGGGAGGAAGGGCGAAGTGAGGGGAGGAGGGGAGGAAGGGCGAAGGGAGGATGTGGTGGGGTGTTAGGGTGGGGGGGGTGTTAGGCGGGGGGGAATGGGGTGTTGGGGGGGGAATGGGGTGTTGGGGGGGAATGGGGTGTTGGGGGGGAATGGGGTGTTGGGGGGAATGGGTGTTGGGGGGGAATGGGTGTTGGGGGGGAATGGGGTGTTGGGGGGGAATGGCGACACCAACAATTTTATTGCCGCAAAGCTACAGTAATGTCAACCTGAGGAAGAACACAACCAATCTCTCGCACCAGCCTCGGGCCTGAACAGTCTCTGGCTCCAGAGGAGAGGGGGGGGAGGGGGGGGGGGGGGAGGGGGGGGGGAGGGAGGGGGGGGGAGGGGGGGAGGAGGGGGGGGAGGGGAGGGGGGGAGGGGGGGGGGGAGGGGGGGAGGGGGGAGGGGGAGGGGGAGGGGGGGAGGGGGGGGGAGAGGGAGGGGGAGAGGGGGGGGGAGAGGGAGGGGGAGCGGGGGAGGGGGGAGAGGGGGGGGAGGGAGGGCCATTCCCCCCCCAACACCCCATTCCCCCCCCAACACCCCATTCCCCCCCCAACACCCCATTCCCCCCCACCCCATCCCCCCCCAACACCCCATTCCCCCCCCCCCCCCCCCCAACACCCCATTCCCCCCCTAACCCCCCCCACCCTAACACCCCACCACATCCTCCCTTCGCCCTTCCTCCCCTCCTCCCCTCACTTCGCCCTTCCTCCCCCTCCCCCCACTTCCCCCTCCCCCCCACTTCCCCCTCCCCCCCACTTCGCCCTCCCCCCCACTTCGCCCTTCCTCCCCCTCCCCTCACTTCGCCCTTCCTCCCCCTCCCCCCCACTTCGCCTCCCCCCCACTTCGCCCTTCCTCCCCTTCCTCCCCCCCACTTCCCCTCCCCCCCCCACTTCGCCCTCCCCCCTCACTTCGCCCTTCCTCCCCCTCCCCCCCACTTCCCCCTCCCCCTCACTTCGCCCTTCCCCTCCCCCGCCCTCCTCCCCCCCCCCTCCCCCCCTCCCCCCCCCCCCACTTTGTTCGGAGGGTGGGTTAGGAAGGGGATTATCCACTCAGCTCCAACCCGGGCTTTTCGCTGAGAAACCAGCAAGAAACCAACCAAACAACTGCCAGCCCGAGCGGTGAGGTGAGGGCTGGTCTGTGCTGGGTTGGTGAGCTGAGGCCTGTGAAAGGTATTGTACCCCCCCCCCCCCCGCCCCCCCACACACCAAAAAACCTGACCCCGTGTGCGTTTGTCCTTGTGCTCTGGTTTCCCCTCCTTCCCCCCCCCACACTCTGTTTGGACATTGGTTTATAAAGGGGATTATCCGGTGAGATCAACCCAGATTTAACTTAACCAGTGACTACCACAGAGAGAGAGAGAGAGAGAGAGAGAGAGAGACAGAGAGGGAACGAGCTTTCCTTTCCTTTCCTTTTTTTATAAACCTCTTTCTTTATTTCCTGCTGTGTCTTTTTAACATCTTTTTGTGTGTGTGTGTGTGTGTGTGTGTGTGTGTGCGCGTGTTTAAAAAAAAATTTCCCGTTAAAATACCTTCAGCTTTTTGATCTAAATGTGTGTGTGTTATATATTTATATATACATATAGATATACACATGTAGAAAAATATCGGATAACTTTATCCCGCTTTGAAAAAAAGGGGGAAATTATGCATTTTTTTAGTAATAAAACCAAATCAGACACAAATGATTCATTCCACTGACCTCCTGCTTACTCTGGGTTTAGTAATGTAATGGACGTGTGTGGAAAGAGCTTTTGTCATCAGCGTGGTTTGGATTAAGGTGTGTTTTTTGTATTATATATATATATGGATCGTATTGATTGTGGATTTTTTTTCCCCCCCCCCAAGGCATCCTTTTGCCAGTAACAGGTAGTACTGGTATGAGGTGGTGGGAATCATAAGCTTGTACAGGATGTGTGCAATGCTGGAAATGCCGGTATCTTTATTTATATATAATATATGTAGAATTATTATATATTTATTTTATTGGCTGTTTGCAACCCCTGAGTATTTGCCTTGATTTCCTTATTTCAGTATAAGGGTATTTAGAATCTATCACAGCTGTATTATGTGAGCTCATGTTGTTGCTCTACTCTTGATTTCCATTGAAATAATGTTTTTTNGATTCGGGAACGCAATTGGATCTGACTAACGTACTGCATTGCTGACCTGTCCGTTTGGACAGCTAACATGTGACGTTTGGACGATTAGTAACCATTATTAATCCATAGTCGTGTATTTGCTGATTTTTTAAAAAAATATATAGACCTAAAAAGAACCGATGAGCTGGGGAAGGAGGGAGGGAAGAGAAAGAATCCACATGGGAGGAAAACCTGACACACAATAAGGCTGCAAACAGTGACAGGAGTGTTAAAGTTCGCCCACTGTCTCCATTTCATAGATCCAACCCCCACAGAAGTTCCTGGATTTGAACCCACGTTATATTTGGAGGCTGTTGTGGTCCCATTCAACCACTTCCTGGTTGGAGTTTACACAATGCGCTGAGATGTCCAGAGATGGTTTTCCCCATTTTTATATATATATATATATATGTGTGCGTGTGTACGTACATATATATTTTTTTGTTAACCTTCGTGGCCACCAAACAAACCTGTGTCGATTTCCACGTTTGTTTTTAATGTTTGGCAAGCGGGTCCGTGAGCCACTGAACTTGTACGCGATCCCCTGCTCTTTTTTTTTTGCTGCATTTGTAAAGATATTAACAGCAGACTTTTAAATTGCAGGCAAATACGAGTACTTAGCTGCGAAGCTCCTGGCCCCCTCTGTGTGTGTGTGTGTGTGTGTGTGTGTTTGGCAGAAATTGAGGGAAGGAAAATTCAAAAGTGAACACTATTTGAACATTTTAACAAGAGATGCTAGCAGTTGGCTATTTAGACTGACTCTTACTTTGGACTTTCTTAAAGCTGTAGAAGTTCAAGGGCTTAGAATATAACACGTCGTCGGTATCGAGGTGATTACTAACCCTTAAAAGGTACTTTCAAAGGAGTTTTTATTATTATTATTATTATTATAATAATAATTTAAAAAAAGGATATCTGAAGTTGGAAAAACTGGTGACCAAGATGGAAAGCTAAACAAACCAACATAATGTGCTGGTTCAGCGCAACCACCAGACGATTTAACATTGCATCCAAAATCCTTCTGGCAGCAGTATTGATTTGTGCTCCGCATCACAAGTCCCAAGTCGATAGATGAAAGAGTCATTCCGCTACAAGGCGACCGCTGCAAAAAAATAAAGAAGTAAAATAAAGTTGCCTAAATGGCAGTATTGCTGCCATACCATGTTGTTGCCTCTCCCCCCCCCCCCCATAACTCCCGAGGAACGAGAGGTTTTTAAGACAAACAACCAGCCACTAAGTCTTTGGCAGTCCTTGAGTACCTTACGTTGGTAGCCATTCTTTACATGTGACCTCACGCAGGTAAAGTTGGAGTGCTGTTCTACCAGTGAAGACATATAGATGAACAAGGTCCTGTTCCTTGCCTTAAATCTGTAAGAGTTATTAGAGAGCGATCAATAGAGAGGGAGGCCCCCCACCGACCTTTTCCTCTTTATTCACCCCGCCCCAGGGCTGTTGAGGCCAACTGTAGAATCAGTCCACTCGTCCTGGCCTGAAATAGGTTGACTTATCAGAGATTCGGATTCAGATTTGAAGCTTGTCGTGTCTCGCGAGCCGTGTCCTTCGCAAGCTAGGCCGAGCCGTGATCTGCTACAATTTTCTGTACCCGTCGCCTCTACACTCTTCAGAGCAAATACGCAAGTGACCGTTCGATTCACAGAAGTAGCACTTGGTCTGTTTTAGTCAACGATACCAGGTAGTGAAATCGCAAGAAATCTGGGGGCTCAGGGGCTGGGAGAAAGTCTTGCGTCTCTAACCCCCCCCACCCCCCTGCAACAAGGATCCTTCTGAAAACAATTGCACTATTGTAAATTGGTGCCAATGTTTTTAAAATGTTGTGAAGGTTCTGAAAGATTCCATGCCTTCGACTATTGAGAGGGTTTTATGGACGAGTTTGTTCCCAAATAATGGAGACAGGTTGCAAGCAATGATCAAGTGGTGTGGCTGAATATATTAATGGGTAGCGTTCGCGGGCAGTCTTACTCCTTCGCAAAAGAAGTGGGAGAATATCTTTGGAATGCAGAATATTTGAGTAATGTACAGCATCTTGCAGTTTTGTTCACTTATTTGTTCCAGTTTTCCAAAGTTTTCATTCACCTCTTCAGCTTCATTTATTTTCCTACTATTCAACATGGGGATGGATGAATTTGAGCGAAACGTTATACTTTTTAAGGTTTTCATTTTTTTTCCCTTTAAAGAATATTATAAGCACGTGACACTTGGTGATTGCTAATGTGGGATTGTTTCAGAAACACTGAAAGCTCTAAATATTAATTGAAGTGAGGCCTATTATTGAATTTATTTCACTTGCTGTGAAATAAGCTGTGGCTAGTGTTTTATTTCAAACGTCAGAAACTGCTGTAGAGCTAACGCAGTCATTGGTTGCCTTTTTTGTTTTCCAAATGGGGGCTTCACGGTAAAAACGACTATTTAAAAGAAAGGCAATAAAGTAGGTGTTTTCCATTACAAATTTCCTGTTCAAAAGTGGGTGGAGGGCTGAATGTAAGTGGAACACCCACAATGAGAGAGAGAGAGAGAGAGAGCCCTTCTGTGGATTAATTTAGTGTATAAACTCATTTTTGGGGTTCTCGTTTCCTTTATTTTTTTTTAAAAAAGTGAGGTTTTGTTACATTGCTGTGGAATTAAGTGTTCAGCTTTACAAGTTTAAAGTCGGCAGATAGTGCGAGAAGGAAAGAAAGTAAATTACTTAATATTCCGCAGGGCAATTGCTGTCCACGATTTTCTAGGTGTCGCTTGTACCAACTTGTACTGTATGCAGTTCTACAATTTAATCGGCTATTTGGAAATTTACATCAGTCAACGTATTAAATTGTGATTTTGTTAAACCGGTCCTCTTTTTCTAATTTTGTTAGCCAAATAAAAATGGTTCAAGTCGTAAAGAAGTTACCAACTGACTGGTGAGTAGCCAGGGCAATCTTGCTTATTTATTGTAGCTGATGTTTGATGTGTCGCTTTGACTTTAGTAATGGGATTTTTTTTTATTAAAAAAAATTTCAACCCTTGAAGTGGCAGCAATGAATCTTTCCCATCCTTTGAATCTTTCCTACTTCATTCAAGCCATTGAATCAGTTAATTTTGACGTTCGACCATCTGTTGGAAAACAAAATCAAAAGTTACAGGGGGCCAAAAAAATAATGATTAAATGAGAACAAATGCATAAAAATAGAAAAGCCGAATGAAAGTGAGGAGAAAGAAGTGGAAAACTTGCTTCAGATTGTATCCGTATCTCCGGTCTGTTTTGATATGTTATTTTTTTCACTTTAGTCTTAAGAGAGCTTTAGTTTCAGAGTAAGCTTCATGTAAAGGGGAGGTACTAGTACAGTAGTAAGCTTTGCCTATTCATAGTTTCATGCATTGGATTGTGTAGCATTTCTGCTGTAACTTTGAAGAAATTAAGATAATTACCACGTCTTGCCGTTCTATCGGGTAATTTTAGTTGGAGGACCGCGCGGTGATTTGTGTGCATTGATCAATTGTGCTACAGTATACGTTTCATAAGGTCTTGCCATCCTCTTATCTACCCTCAAGAGTTGAGCGTTATTAACAGCAATACAATACTTGGCGAAATTGCCCTGGAGATAGATGACTTGCGTTAAGTCAAATTTAAGGCAGGAAAATTATGTATTTTGGCACAAGCTGGTGATTTTTTTTTTGTGAAATGGTGGTAGTTGACTGCTTGCATTTTGCACACACAGTGTGAGCAGTTTCCAGGTTCCTGGTACTAAAAATGTGGCTCTACTTTTTTATAAATTCTTGTAATTCTTCAAATTGCTTAGTTGGAGCAGCCCTTTGGAGGTGTGCTTGCTGCAAAGATGGATTGTGTAGGTGCTCCTTTCTCCAAAAGTTAATGTATAACTTTAGTTCTGGGTTAGGTTATAAGCATATCGTTTCGCCCACAAAATATACAGTCAATTCCCTTTGAGACGTCTGGAAGACGTGATAAGGGGCTATATCAAATGTAAGTATTATTGTTATTATTATTTTACCACTAAGGTTCAGACAGGGTGAAGAAAGCAACTTGGCCTGTAAGCTATAGGCAAATCCATTCGAACCTTGCTTTTTTATCAAAAAAATTCTCTTCGGTTTACTTCCCCCCGTTCTGGAAGCGATGACGTATGCTTCCATCGTTGACAGTGAGTCAAGGCATGATTATTAGGAGGCTGTTTGACCCGGGGTGGTGGGTGGGTGGGTGGTGGGAGTGGAAGTAGACATTGGAGAGAGAATATCATCACAGCGCCAGGTGACCCTGAGCTCACAAGCTGTGAACGCGTGTGCACTTTTTAGCCATGGTCACTGGACAGTGATCATGACTGGTACTTTACCTGGGCTGGCTTTTGTTCCATAGCCTAGAAATACTGAGGTTTCTCTGGTATATAATCATTGGTGCCCTAGCTAAAGAGCTTTTTTTTTACAAAATGTAATTGACTTTGTGCTGTTGGCTTGTTTTTTGTTGATACCTAATGTTCTGCACCTTATGTTTCTACACTTTTAAGCTGTGCCGGTGATGAACGATATTTTCTCGATGGAGCAGCTGAGGGTTGGTCTTATCTAAGTATGCACAATAGTAAAGATCAAATGTTGGTTTAGGGAGGGAGAGGTTTGTGGCTGCATTTCCTTCGGACTGAAGGCCCATTCATTTTGACACTAAATTAATTTGTCCTGAAGCAATCTAGTACTATCGGTTCAGTGCAGGAAGTTGGTAAAAGAGTTTACAGTAGGAACACAGAAATGAATAGGCTGGTTGGTTGCGGCAGTCCATGTTTATGTTTTTTTCCACTTTAGACAAATTTGCTGGGTTAATTTTTGTTGGGAGTATAATCTTTTCTCTTCCCCCCCCCCCCCACCTCCATGTCGAAAAAGTATCTGTAAGAAATGGCAGCGGTTATGTGAATCCCTGGTGTACACCAAATGTTTATTTCGCGTTCCGAGTGTTCCTGCATGCTCTTGTTTCAGCTCCTGCACTGTGACATTTTCAATTTTATTTTGATAAAACGGTAGTGTATCAGCACATAATTTGTGATTTGCTGTAATAATGAACGTAAAGAGGTGGGGGAGGTAATTTTCTTTGGTACGGAGCCACAGAACCAATGGAAAGGTAGTTTGATTTGCAAAAGACACCTGGTTTGGAAATGGGGACCTGTGGAAATAGCCAAGGGAGCAAAAGTCTTACAAAGAGAGTTTGCTAGTGTGTGAACATGGGCTTCTAAGTGGCAAATACAGTTCAGTACAGAGAAAATGCAAGGTACTCCATATGTGGAGCAAAAATGGACTCTGTGGATGGGATAGAATTTGCGAAGCAGGAAGCTGAACGAGAACTCGAAGTGTTAGTTGGCTCGCCATGTCAAAACAATGTGAGGTAGCAATAAACAAGGAAACTGGGATGATGGGTGATAATATCACAGCAGTTTAGCTCAGATCCTTAGACAGGCTGGAGCTCTTCAGGGTGATGGGTTTTGCACCTCATTATCTTCAAGCGAGCCCTGATAGAGGGAGAGCATGTGATGTTTTAATCAGTGTTGGAAAAAGTAAACCCAGCCCAATACATTTGGGTGTGCTGAGACACAAGAATAAGAAGGCACAGGTTAGGATTGCAAAGAGCAATTTAGGGGCAGACACCAGGAAATATTTCTTCACCCAGAGAGTAATTTCCAACTGAAACCTGGTTGCCTTGAGGAGTGGTTCAAGGACTCTGAGAGTTGTTTAAAATAACAACTTGATGCTGTAATTGGTAGAGTGGGTTTTCTGGAAGGTTGAGATCAAATGGGCTAAAGGGCCTTCTCTATCTCTTGCGATCTTTTGTAGAGTAATATACTGCAGCAGACACTGGTGCGCCAGACCTCTATTGTAGCTTGTTATTGGCAATTCTACTGTTATGAAATGCTTAGTTTTCTGAATATAACTGCATATATCTTTAAACATTTGGTAGTGAAGCGTTGGAAAAGTCTGATGAGAAGGTGGGCAATATAGTTTCAAAGGGTAATCCGCTTTGCAGATGGTAAATAACTGAAATGGTTGTCTTTGAAATGACTCGAGAGTTTAGCGGACTTGCGCAAGGGATGAAACGTTCCGGTGCGAGTTGGATCCTCGGCAAACGCGCTGCTTAAAAATAAAACTCCACAATGGAAATGCGAGGTGGCTGCATGGGTGTGACCCAAAGTGGCCGTCGCATTGCACTGGAAGGCGGGAGGGTTGCATTTTTGCGGAAAACATTTATCACATTGCAAAAAGGCAGTGAGTGGAGTGGCGTTTCAACGTTGGGGGCTGTTCACCGGGGGTTATCTTAACTTGGGCGAGATTCCGTCCGATGCTAATTCAATTGAAACTCAGAATTCTGACCACGAAAAGTCAGAAGTAAAACTGTTATGGACTGACGGTTGTCTGATGGACGCAACTGTGTTTTTTAAAAATAAAAAGCCCCTTTGACCTCATTAGCTTCAGCGACAATGAATAACTCATGATGTCTTCACCATAGCAACAGACCTTGCTGACACTAAACCAGCTTGTGCTTGAAGGGGAAGTGTGCTCTTCTGAATGGCCGTGTAATCCTATTCGTCGTAAAGAGAAAAACTCTGTGCACTTAATGATGTGCCTTGCCTCCCTCCGCTCGTGCCTTAAACGCGCATCGCAAATTCCTCCTGCCCCCCCCCGACTGTCTCAACTGGGGTCCTGCAGAAAAATCTTCCATCATATGTTGACGCAGAGAATTGCCGTTTACCACGGTATTCACTCCATGTCAAATGCTTCGCCGCAAGGTGCATCTTAAAGAGCTTTAAGGCGTAAAATATAGAAAGGAATGATGGCTCAGATACTGATAGTAACTGTGCACGTACCTACCTGTACATCGTTTGAAGACCCCACACGGTCTTATATTATGTTTTGTGATTTTTGTTAGTACAAGACCGATCCAAGCAGTTGAAGTTCATATTCCAAGAGAATATTGCCAACTTTTAACATAAAGTTGCTGTGAAGCAGGAAAAATCAAACTTGTGACAGCATTTTATGAGCACCACTTCTAACTGTTACCATGCCGAATACACACCAAATAGTGAGCGCTTTATTTGCTTCAAGGGATAAGTTAACGGTTTCAGCAAATGCTGGAGTTTGTATTGATTATCAACCTTGTTTCGCCCACAAAATATGTAGTCGATTCACTTGACAGTATATTCTGTGACGTGCTTTGAGACATATCGTAGATGGGATAAGGCGCTATATTAAATGCAAGTATTATTATTGTAGAGAAGTTGCGAACATTTGAAAATTCCAACTAAATTCTTGCTACCTTGGATACTATACACAACAGTAATGTAGTGTTTCTGCTTCAATGTTTGCTGTTTTCGTGTGATATAATTGTAAACCCATTCAATAAACTTTGAAGAGACGTGATCAAAATCATTGTTCTTGAATGTCGACCAATACATTATATTAGTTTGTAATGTACAAAGCCCTGAAAGAGAAAGAACATGGTCATTTTAATCTAGAACATTAATAATAGTAACTGCACAGCATGAGACCCGTCTATTTAAAACTGCCCTACCTACCGTTAAAGGGTTATGGACATATCTGCAACTTTCAAGACTTAGTGATGTGTTACGCAGGCTGGTAATCAGTCAACAATCAAATTACTGTGGATTGCTTGGCAAAGCATTCGGCTGCTATTCCCCTAACCTCTGGAACTCCCTCTCTCTACGCTTCTGTCTTGACCCCAAGAAGGGTTCGTTTTTAAATGCTGCTTTGAAAACTTGCTTGCGTTCGCCCACTAAGCAATCACTGCTATTTACAGTAGATTCTGAAGCTCTTTGGGACGTCACCACCTCTCCTATCTCACTTGCCGTCCAACCCCATTCTTGTGCAGTGCTCCGAGATGTATCCTACGTGAAGGGCGCTATATAAAAAGCAAGTTGGTGTTTGCTCAATCAGTTCAGCCAAAGGGGAAAAGACCCTCTTCTCTGCCCCAGTCTTTTTTTTAGAAAGACTTAACATAATTTTTTATCGAACTTAATGGCTGAGTTAGGCAAAAGTGAATTTGACCCGAGAATATTTCCACCCCAATAAATAAGCTACTTCAGGATTTTGAACATTAAAATGATAAAAAATCATTAAAAAACAATTTTAATTCAAAGTTTGATTTTTAGGGGAAAACATATGAAATGTAGGTCCACTGTGTACAATAGTTGGCCATAGTGAATCTCTTTTCTCTTACAGTATGTGTCAAGCTAACAATGAGCATTATTTTATTGATATGATACTGCAGTCAAAAAGGTGCTTTGTTCCCAAATTCAAGGCCTGTTCTTTTTCAATGACATTTTCTTAAACACATTCTTGTTTTCTGACTGTTTCGTCGCTTCTGTTTAGAATTTGTACTTTGTTGTAGTTTGCCTTGGGGGTAAAAAGGAAACGGAATACTTTTGAGAAATAAGGTCAATTGGAAAGCTGTAAGGAAGTTTCTCTTAATATTTAGGTCAAGTTAAAATGTTGGTGGTTGAATTTTTTTTCTCTGCTCTTGCCGAGTTTCTTCTAAAGCTAATCTGACTTTTCCGTAGTTTTGCAAGAATCTCTATTAATAGTGAGTGGTCAAATGTTGAAGTGTAAAATCAGAAATTAGTCATTTGTATTTATGCCTGTCTCACAGTAAAAAAAGTTTGCTTATTGTATAAAGATTTGCCCACAAATATACAATCAATTCACTTTACAGTATATTCTGTAAAGCGCTTTGAGACATCTAGAAGACATGATAAGGCGCTATATCAAATGCGATGATTATTATTATTATAAAGATTGTTAGAGAATTTAAATTTTTCATGATTTAAAATTGAGATATGTGCCAAAAGCCTGAAACCTGTTTTGTTTATTTTTTTTTGCCCGTTTATCCCGCCCGGCTCGGTATTGCTGTGCCATGGGTTATACACTTGTAATGAAATACTTGCTAATTAGCTGTTTGGTTGCAGGTAGGAGGCCTCTTCATTACAAAGCCCTGGGAGATCGGGAGTGTGCAGGAACATTCCTGGGCAGAGAATGGGGAGGAGCTGGCTCTACGTTGATGAAGGGGAGGGACAGCGAGAGAAAGAAAGACAGTAAGCAAAAGCAATGTTTGCAACAAAACGTAAACGTGACGACTTGGAATTCACGGGGACAGATAAAACGGGTCCTAATCGTATCAGTGTTTTCAGAGTCTTTTCCCTCCTATGAACAACGACGTCAAATTACACTTGTAAAGTGCGCTTCACGTTGGAAAGATATCCCAGGGCGCTGGACAGTCGGGGTTTTTCTGGACCCGAGTTGGGGCCAGGAAGGGTGGAGGGCATTAAATCAAACCTAGCACCAAATTGGCTCTCCACTATATATTTACCATCCACAAACCCTGATCAAATTCCTGAGATCGAGTCCTGTGCTATGCGTAAATGCCAGATGGTTGTGGCATCATCTGTCATCAGCAGTGATCAAGTAGGCCGAATAGTAACTATTACAGTGATCTCCGCTAGAAATGAAACCTCTTGGCGATGGTAGAACGATAGAATCCGTTTGATATCTCTCAGCACTAAGTCTCTTGTACTCGGCAAAGCTAAAAAGAAGCTACTGTCCTGAATCATTACACAGAAGGGAGCAAATAACAAGGTTTCTAATTGAAATGCTTGATAATGACACAACCTAATCCCTCGACAGAACATTGACCAGATTAGTCCACAGATGCCTTCGAGGCAGAATCACACCCATATCAACTGAAACGTGCAGAATGTCAAATCATACAAGATCGGCTCCAAAATGATTTGGCATTTGTGCAATTCTGCCACAGACCCATTTCTATTTTGATGAGAGAAATGAACGGCTGGTTCATCAAACCTTTTTGCCCGTTTTCATCTGAAATGGTTTAACCCTGTGTTTTTTTCAGAACAAATTTAATACGGTAGAAATAAAAAATCAACGTAAAGCCTAACTAGTTGGAATTGCTTCCCTTCCTGTTCCCGTGCTATTTTTCCAGCATCTCTTCCAAAAGGAATAATTCAACCAGCGTGCAATGGTACTATGTCCAAAGCAGCCCATTCTTCATCTATTTAGCATAGACACAGAATGTTCTGCTAATGGACTGCGAAGGGTGAGCTGCATCCCTGTCCTGTTCACAAACAAAAGCTTTTTTTTTTAATCATGGGTTTCCTGTATTTGGGATGCAGGAGCACTATTTTAATTTCATATTGACTTCTTTTAATCTGGGCACCAGGACTAATTGTTGCACCATTGCTGCTGAACTCCTAACCAACTGTTGGGAGGTCAACTCAGCGCAAAACAAAATGCCTATCTTGGTCTGTATATTTATGGCCATTGTTATAATACACAGCTTGCATTTTACCCTTTGAACTATCAAGAGTCCATAAGCCTAATTTCTTTGTACTTGAACCAGAATCTCAAGGACTTTAATACACTCATTGGATTATTTCTGTTTTTAATACTGTTCATTTTGGAAAAATTACAATGTCCACGAATTGCCAAAAACATTCACAAAGCAAGAGAACAGTAGGTGGTGGGGAATTACTATTTAACGTCCAGCAGTTGGAGTCGGTTACAAAGGCTTCAAAGTCTCTTTAAAAGTCATTTCTTTTCTGTCAGTTTTAAACTTTGCTGGATATTTTGTAAAGTTTCCCTTTGCGAAAGCATCTTGATTTTCCGATCTAATGAGTCGAATGGGGGAGGGGTGCAAGGTAGAGACTGATGACTTTGCTGGTAGAATTCGATGCAAAATGTCTCTTTCCACGCTGCTTTTAAGCTGCCTTTTTATATATTTTTTAAAAAAATATATAAAGCATTGGATGTTGCATTTTTCTAACGTATGGATGCAAAATTTGTGTTTCTTTTCAAAATTCGGTACGGGCAAAAAAATAAAGCATAGGAAACTTATCTCGTAAGAGAATGACGAACACACAAAGAGCAAACTGACAGCAGAGGGGGTGGACCAAAAAAAAAAAAGGCCAAAGGTTTCCAAAAGGAACGAGACAAACTCCAGGTCACCTAAAATAATTCAGGGTTATGAGGTAATGCCCATTGAAGGAATCTCAATGGGGATTTGGATGGGTAGCTCGGTCTTCTGATTTACTCCCACCTGAAATTATTACTTTAAGTAGCAATTCAGAAGATGCATTTCTCTTTTATGATATTGTTTTATAATACATTGTAAAAACAAATCTATCTGGATTTAGCAACCTAATGAATTTGGTTGGCATTGTATGAAACATAAAATCCGAATATAGTTAAGCTTCCTTTTCTAATTTCCATGTGTCTTTTTCCCTCCTACATGGTAGTTTTATTGCAGTACTCTGCTGAAAGTACACCAGCTTCAACCATTCTAATAAAGAATTCACTGGTCCTATTTGCTTAATGGAACATATGTAATTTACTTCTGTAAATTAATGTGTCTGAAGTAGTTTATTATTGAAAGGTTGAAAAGGTTTATGTAGGTGCAGTTGTATGAAAAGCTAATTAAAGATGTGCTGGGCCCTGTTTACTCATTTATTCTCAACGGTTTATTATTAACCTTGAAGATTATTCTTCGGAACTGCAGCCGATTTGAAGATGTGTTGTCAAAAATGTGACCTATGAAAGATAGTGAACAGTTGAGTAATTTTAGTGCTGATTCAGAAGTCGAGTAATATTTAAAGCCCAAGAAGAATTGTCTGTTTTGCCTGGGGAAAATGGTTTCCAAGCCTTTTATATGTGAACCTGCGGCTTGTTACCTTTTGTATTTGAGTGGTTCTGTCAGTTGGAAGAATTTTAACACTATGTTTTTTGGTGAATTTTGTGTAGAATGCAATCCTTGTGGACTTTCAGAATACGACATATGACTTGTATATAAATCGTAAGATTCCTAACAGCCAATGTCTGCCATTTTAGCTTCACTGTTCGACTTGGGACTAGGTTACAATCGTAAAAGCTTTATAATTCTATGCTAATGGTGCCCTTTCTGTGGTATTTTAACTGCCATAAAAGGAGGTGAACACATATTTTCAACAAGAAGGAAACATCTAATGGAAAATCTGAAGCAGACTGCGTACTGGTGTATGGTTTGTCATAGAAATGGTATTTTTTTTGTCTTTAACTACTGGATAGGTAATGTTGTACGGGCTCATTCATCGGTGAAATGTAACACTATTTCTATGGGTTTCCACAATGTCAAATGCAATAACAAATTACACCAGGATGGAGGTTTTCCAGGCATTATGCAAGTTGTACACGTTGAACTAAAAAGTAGGTCTTTTTGCCTGGCAGTATAAAGCACTTTTGTTGAGCTGTCAATGTACGCTAACTTTACATATGTTTAGGCTGACACTCCAGTGCAGTGCTGGGGGATTGCTGCATTTTCACAAGTACCATCCTTTGGATGAGACATTAAACAGCATTCCAACCTGTTAAACACACCCTTGGGCTATTTGAAAGAAAAGTTTCTTCCAGTGCACTAGCCAATCTTTCCCCAGATAAAATTGATCATTCACTTCATGGCTGTTCTTGAGACATTGCTTTGCACAAATTGGCTGCCATGTTCACCTACAAATAGCCACTACGCTTTACAGAATCTTTAAGGAGCTTGAGATGTTCTGGATACTAGTTTTCTGTGGTGTAGAAGTTTGAAGTTATTTGTTGCGTCGAGACCGATAGATTGTACGATTTTTGCAATCCGTCGGGCTGGGATGTCTACCAGGCTGAGGTCACGATTGGAGGGTGATTCGACTTCATAGCGAAGTTGGTGCTGACTGGCTCGACTCCCACACTTGTCACAGCGCTGTGTCCCACGTGTAGAAGGACATGAGCAGGCAGGCAGGGCAGCTAAAGCAAGAGGAATGCCAGTTAGAATGAATGAGTTGGGGAGGGGAATCTCTGGAGGAGAATTGGCTAGAGGGGAGAAATTCCTTACTGACTGAGAGACAATGGGTGGATTAAGGGGGCAGTACAGCCAGTGAAAGCTGGTTGAGTTGAAATGTAAGGTTGCTAAGAAAAAAAAACTACAGACCTCACCACTGGTAAAAGAGGTATGTCATAGTATATTGGAAAAGGAACTGCAGGTGTTACCAGAAATCTAATGGTTTGTTTTAGATTTGTTTTGAGCTGATGTATTTTAAAATTTATTGGAATCCTCCCTATCTGTGTTGAGGAATTCGAAACAAGAATTCTACAATAAATATAAAATGCTTTAATCGCACCCGCAGTATTTGAGTGATCTTGAATGAGTGTCTTTTACATCACTTAATGTCGAGGTACATCCTAATACTAATGTGAGCCTGGGGTATCTGCATTGCATGTCTTAAACAGCAGCTACATTTTTATTAATATGGTGGTGAGAAATTTTGAACACAGCTGTACTTTTCACAGACTTTAATTTTTGCATATTTGAACTTGTACCAATAACTAGCTCTTTAAAAGGATTCCTATGAAAATAGTAAATATTCTGAAATTCTAATCAACAGCTCACTCGGTTGCAAGCAAAATGGCCTAAATATGGGGCTTTACCGTGTGTACTACTGTATAGTTTATCGGTAATTTTTTTTATTAATTGTATATTAATTCAATATGTAACTGCAATCCTAATAAAGCCCGTGAAGTGCTTTTAGGGCATCCTCCTGAAACGAGCTATACCAAATGCAAGGATTATTATATAATGGAATTATCATCTGCTTTAGGTGGATGCAGTGTACTAGAAGTGTGTGAGATCAAATTGATGTGTGAATGGCTGAAACATTTGTGTCTCACACAGCTTCTCATACAGCTGTTGAATAGGCTGGATTACATTTTAAATAGGGTACAACAGAAAATATAGCACCGCTAAAAGGTGCCTCTGTCATTAGTACATTTACAAGACGTGTTATTTGAATGTTCTGGAAAAACACTGCAGAAATAGCTTGTTTCTTAATTTGCAATATTGTATTTGAATTAGACTAAATTATTTTTGTAGGAAGATGGTGCAATCCACCGAGTTAATTTGTGAAAGGTTTATTCTGTGTGTTGGCACTGACCGATACTCGGAAAACTGCTCTCTAATAATATTTTTCACAAATTGTTTTGCTTGACTGACTTCTCTTTGACTTGAAAGATGCCTTTATATTCTGCAGGTTTGTCAATCAGTCAGTGAAGTGTTCAGAACTGATTGTAGTTTTGCGTGTGTGACTCGGAATTTCGAGTTTGTCACCCGATATTTTGTTAGCTGTGTACTGATTTGTGTTTTTTTCCTTCTCTTCCCCTCCTTTTACTAGGATCGAGGAGCAGCAACATTTTTTGTCAATGAACAACCGGAAGGACAACATGGAGATCACCTCTCACTACCGCCACTTACTGCGGGAGTTGAACGAACAGAGGCAACATGGCATTCTTTGTGACGTCTGCATCATAGTGGAGGGGAAGATCTTTAAAGCGCACAAAAATGTTCTGCTTGGCAGCAGCCGCTACTTTAAGACTTTGTACTGCCAGGTACAGAAGATGTCCTCAGACCAGGCCACTGTGACTCACTTGGACATAGTCACAGCACAAGGTTTCAAAGTCATCATAGATTTTATGTATTCAGCACATCTTGCACTAAGCAGCAAGAACGTCATCGAGGTCATGTCAGCTGCGAGCTACTTGCAGATGACAGACATCGTTCAGGCTTGTCACAGTTTTATCAAGGCAGCTTTGGACATCAGCATAAAGACTGAGTCAACAGATGATATTGTGGAATTTGATATGGGAGCTCCTTCAAGCAGCAGCAATGATGTGATGGCTCCAGTGGCAGTGGGCAGGAGTAGCTCCCCCTGGTTGGAAAGACGACGAACAAGCCCAGCAAACTCCTCCGGAGACTCTGCCATTGCAAGTTGTCATGACGGCGGAAGCAGCTACAGCAAAGAGGAGCACGAGCAGAAAACTGACAGCCACGACGATATCTCATCGCAGTCCCTCTGGTCGAGCGATATCGGTTACAGTTCCTTTAGAATCAAAGAGGAGCAAATCTCCCCTTCCCATTATGGAGGTGCTGAACTGAGAGAGTCTCCCCTCAGCAAGAACATTTCTTCCTCACAGAACGCTTTTTCCGAACAGGCCCCCAGTGAGGTGTGGCAGCTCCCTGGCCGGAAAAAGAACCGTAAAAATAAACAAACTGTGCGTCATATTACACAGCATGTTGAAGAAGACAGCAGAGCTAACTCTCCAATGCCCTCGATCCTATCTGTTACCGGGTGGCCATACAACAGCCGTGATGAGACATGTAAGCAAGAGATTTTAACTCCTGATCTGATTGTGTTGTCTGTGACCCGTGTGTGAAGTAATGTTTTGAATTTATGGCGATGGGCTCTTTTGACAATTATCTTCATATAAGCGCACATCATATGAATGGTTCTGTAATTTTAAGGGTAGGGTGAAGTGCTCATTTCACAACTAGTAAGGGATTTACAAAACCAATGATGGAATGCGAGATTACTGGATTTCTGGAAAAGCTGTTATGATCTCTTCCATCAACAGTCCCTACCAAGTTAAATGTACAATTCCATGTTCTGTCCTGCATTTGAACCATAACAGCACTTTTACTATCCCTTTAGAGCTACCCTTTCGAAGTTGGATTGAGAAGATAGTCTGCACTGAGTGTTTCTACCTGACTGCAACCTGCACAAATGTATGGTAGCACATTTAAGAACCCATCACTTACCACAACAGATTTGGAGTGTGAAGGAATCATCTGGGTTAGAAGTGTGGAAGATCGACTAGTGAATTGGTTTTCAAAGGAGACCCGAGGGGGAATGATAAAGGGTATCATTTTGTCCTCAAAGTTGGTTTAATCAGAACACACTGTGAAAACCGTTTTTGAACTCATTCATAAATCATTCATAATATTTCTCCTTCGGGTTTTCAGTCTCCCATGACCATGTGTTTACAGAAGGCACAGTGAGATTCCTACATTCAACACACTCTCCCAGAAAATAATCGCTAAACTTTGCAGTATATTCAGCGAACCACTTTGAAACACCTTCCGGACTTGAAAGAGCAGTATCAAATTTAGGATTCTATCATTATAAGTAAAATCCTGTTCGGCAACTGGGTGTTGTTTGATATATGACTAATAAGCACATCGGATTTTTTTTTAGTAAAAATTGTACATTTTAGATTCAGGGTATAACTGGCTGTTAATTTAATGAAGATTGCCTTTACCTTTCTTAAGAAAACTCCACATCAACAAGCAAAGCCACATGCCATCCCAAATGGAAGCACCATCAGATCTTTGATTGCTTTAGGCCTTGTGATATTTAACTAGCATCAATGTCAATCTGATCAAATATGCACTCAACAAAACGATTTAAAGGGATTGCCTCTCCCCCCCCCCCCCACACACACACATTTATAAATGTAATGGTTCAGTCATTGATTTGTATCACTTGAGGGTTAGAAAATTAATATTTAGCTCTTGTGTATCTGAAGAATTATTTGATCCATTACTGTGCTATTTTCTTCCTTGCACCTCCTTCGAATAGACCAACAGTTGCATAAAATATTAAATTTAAGGAGTCTTAATATGCAGCAAGCTTGAAATTGTTCGTAGTTGTGAATACATTGACTGCTCAGCAGATTTACATTCTTAATACTTGGAATACTGTTGGTATATTGTGTTTGTTAGCTTGTCTCCTAGTTTTGATACTTAGAAGGCTTAGTTAGTATTAAGCATTCAGTTTTGAAAAGTACATTAAAACTGGTACACGGGGGAGTAAAGATCGGTGTCTGTCAATTTGGTAATGTTAAAAAAAATTCTCCCATTCTGCATGAAGGTCAAATTACGGTTGTCCAGTAATTCTACCTTGTGGCTATTTTGCACTTTGGGGCCCAGGCGACTAGTTTCAGCAGTCTATGAGACCTGAGTTGGAGGTAGTAGTGGGGTCAAAGAACATCAAAGGGAAACCTTATTTTTCCTCACTTGCAAGTTACATTTGCACACTTTCCAGCAAGAGTCACTTGATCATGATTGAGAGGTTGGAATCGTGTCTGCCAAACATTGCCTTCTGGCGACAAGAAAAAATTGACAGTTGCTGGTCCCAAGAATGCAAAACAAATTAAGATGATTTATGTCCATAAAACAGCCAAATTAAAACTCTTCTGTGTGCAGTCATGTTCTTTCCCACCCCCACCCCCCCCCATTTTGTTTTTGTGGTAGGAGGATGCAGGCTAGAAAGGGAGTTGGAAGGAAGTTTTGAGATGATTGCCTTTAAAGTGAAGGGAATCAAATTAAAATGATACAACACAAAGATGAATGTTAATTGAGTTTAAAGCAAAGAAGAAAAACTAACTAGGACAGACATGACAGATGATTTTTCAGTCGGAATTATGGTTAATACAATTTGTGTGCTGTGTCACGTTGGACTGATTGTCAGAGATCGTGGTGGATTTGGAGTACTTTGCGTTGACATTGCAAACAGTTGCTCTATTTCTTCCAAGTAAAAAAAACTTGCTAGGTTCTTTCCCTTTTTTAAAAAAATTTACAGCAACAAATTATATTTATATAGCGCCTTTTATGTGAAGAGGCCGCTGGTAGCTGAGGGTTTGCACCTGAGCTGGAGGTTGGATTCAGGAGGGGTGAGAGCCAAGAGTGTTTTGCCGAATCTGTTTGTACTTCATCTACAGTTGTTTACAGCCTTTCTTCCCCCCAGTTCATGTTCTACAAATATTGTTAAATATTTTATGAAGACTCAAATCTAGAAACTCTTTGTGTGGTACTGTAGATTTGCATTTCTTTGCTAATGCTATTTATATGATTTTAAAGTTTTTACATATATATATATCAGCAGTTGATGCACGTGATGAAAAGCTCATAATCCTGTGAGTTGCATAGAGAAACTATATATACTACCTTTTGAATTCTGTAGCAAGAACTAAATCATCTTATTCCACATTCCATTGGCTTAGCAAGCACCCTGATTTTTTTTTAATGTTGGTAATACACAGGTTGGCAAGTTTTGTGTAAATTGTCTCGCCTGTGCATTTCAGTGTATGATTATCTCTTATTTTTAAGTTGCTTTACCTTAGTGAGTTTAGCAAAGAACATTACTTTTGTTTTTCGTTACCAATATTCCATTACCTTCCCTCTCATCTATTAAAGCAGTTGCTTTCCCTACTAACATACCATTTTTGTTAATCTGCATTAACTCACATGGATTACTCTGAGCCCTGCAATCCCCTTTTTTCCCCTCTGATTTACTCACTGCTTAGAAAATGGCACTTGGCTTGTCAGCCCTAAGTGACTTTTTAACGTAAACATTCCTCTTCCTTCCCCAACATTTATTAATTTCCTTTCCAACTCCCACATAATGTGTTATAATTGTCTTCAGATATATTAAGTCAACTCAGCCTTTTTGTGTTTAATACCACCTCTCTTCTGTCCTCAGAATTTTTTTTAAACTAGTTTTGTTCTAAGCTTGGATGTGTTTCACCCCTTTGAAATTGTACCTCCCTGTCCCCTGAATTATTAGCTTATCTTTTCTACTTTGAAATCCCCAGAGAATATATTTCTAAACCTCTGCATTATCGTTTTACAGTGTAAAGTTTACATATATGTCGAGAAGACATGGAAAGCGCTATATGAAATGCAAGGATTATTATATTATTACATATGCCCTGTTTAAGCACACAAGGTCCTTGCGAAGTTTAAGCATCATTTTATTTCATCATTTGGGAAACTTTAGCAAATTATACCCTTTTTTTTCCCTCTAGATTTAGCCTGGTGGTTCAGTATAACCATTATGATTTCTATATATGTCTCAAGTTAGTAAGCTAGATATAGATCACTTCATGTTTCTAGGCTTATATCTTGAACGCAACCACAGAGTTTCATTCTGTCCCCTTTAAAATATTTGCAAGGTATTCATTAAAATTGAAAATTTCTCTTTGAATGGGAAGCCAACCTTCTGCCCTGTTTATTATTGCTCGAATGGCTGCATAGTTGGTCTGTTCCTGCGCGAGTCTTTTAAAAACATTTCTGAAAAGTGCAAAACGATTGAAACGGTACGACCTGGAAAGTTCGGTGGGAGTTTAGACCATTGGATTGAAGGTCTCTTTGGTTAGCCAGGCCAGGGGAGAATGCCAAAGTATGCCTAGAAGGGGTGGTACGATCACTTCAAAAGCTGTTTTGAAAACTGCCCCCAAAAGTGGCCCCTAACTTCAAAGTAATTGAGAGAGTTGTAGCTGGGATGGTCCCCATTCATGTCGAACCGGTTACCAGAAGAGAACTCGCGTGCCCTGCTGTGCTGAAGGTCCTTAGGGCCGCTGGTCTCAATGAAAAACAACTGCTTTGACATCTTTGAATGCAGGAGCTTGATATCTTGTTGGTCCTTACCTAACATAGCACTACAAAACCGTACCCTATTCTAAGACAATTAGTGCTGTGAAAATTGAAGAAGCATGGGGGGAGAAAAGGATGAGTTGCCAAAACCTGTGACAGTTACTTGCATTTATTTACGTAGGTCCCTCTGTACTGGATAGTTTTGTAGTCGATCCATTTGTACTATAGTAATAACTAATGTTGACATGACGCCTGAAATTGACGTGATGGTTATTGATATTATTTTAGTCGCACTTCTACCAGGGAAAGTGAATTCTGAAAGCCCCCTGAGCAATCTTTTAAGTTTCCAATTATGAAATTTGGTTTAAAATTCTTTCCTCATGAAAACTTCCTCATACATAAGTGCATCCTTCTATCTAGGGAAACAAAGCATAAATCACAATTCACGATGGCCACATTTTTCTCCAAACCCTTTTTGGCCCAAGAATCATTTTTGTTTTTCGTTCCTTTCCTGTGTTTTGTAGGATCAGCTATTTTATTGCTGTGTTAACCCCCCCCCCCCCCACCCTCTCCCTCCCTCCCCCATGTTCATGACCCCAACCCAACTCCCACTGTTTAATTAAAATTTTCATTTATCTTTGTCAGTTGTAAACAGAGTTTTAAGATTAGTGGTAGAGAAAGTGAATATGAATATACGCTGATCGACAAAACAATTAGAACCCACACGCAACTGAGAAAATAATTAGAACCCTATGCACCTTGTTTCCAGGCAGAGAATAAATGAAAGAAATAAAATGTTATGGTCAAGGTTAGCAGTTTTGTTAGTGGATGGAAAGTTGCAGTAACCCATTGTGTAGGATAGGACTTGGTTGATGGCGGGTCCCTCCCCTTTGAGTAAAACAATACAAATTTACTTTAATATTACGCCTTTCAGGTCAGGAGGGCGTCCCAAGACACTTAAGAGTCCTGGCTTCACACCCAAACTGGGGATGGGAGCCAAGGGGCTGGAGGGGAAAGGTGACCGAAAGTGCAGTCAAAAGAATCGCACAATTGTTTGAAGTATATCATGTTTACTTTGTGCCTTTGTCCCATTTCTGAATTCTGTTTGGCACTAATTTATTTATATATATATAATATATATATTTTTTTAAAAAGCCACAAGTGTTTGTCATACACAAGTGACTCATTCAATGGCCTCCATTTCCTTTGGGTAGAGACGTCCTGGAAGTTTTCATTACTGTACTTTAGAAAGAGTGGCTGTAAATGGACTGACTTGGTCAGCAAGCTGTTTCCCCGAGACTTCTACCTATATGTTGTTCCTGATTTTTAACGACTGCTCCTCCTTACACAATGGCAGGAATGAGGGATTGGATAAAGGTCACACACGCCCCCCAAAATTTGCTTTCATCCTTGAGGATCTGCTTGGACATTTTTGGTTGAATTATGTTGCATTGTCTAACTTTCTGAAGTGCTTACTGTCAAAAGCAAACATGAAATGCCAAATGTTAATTGTGTGCAATTTTCGATTCATGTACCCAGTCTCAAACCTTGGAAATGTTAATGGGGAGCAATCAAATCTATTAATCCGGTTGGGGTAACTAATGTTGTGGTTCTAAGCAGCCCTAATGTAAATGAACACAATTCTGATTTTCAGACACCTGCCTTTTTAATTGATTTTTTAACCTCCCATCGCATGTTCTTCTCCCCCTTCTTTCCCATGCCCCTTTACAAAAGCATCGCTTACCCAGGGTAAATTCAGTTATTTTTGGCCCATTTGACAACAGATCTAAGTTTGTGTTGCTCCCACGGGTATTTTCTGCTATTACGTTCATGCCTGAATATCTCAAGCTGCTGAAGCATCGATGGGGCTGGTGAGGTCTCAAATTCATGCCCAAATAGGGCAAGAACAATATCAGGACTGAGCATATTTTCTTCTTCATGCACTTGGCCCATGTATAGAAAGGCAGGGGGAACAGGGTAAAGGACAATTTTATTTTTATCATGATCCCTCGGAGCCTGCACTTGGGGTTTAGCTCTACATTCTCCCTCTGTTGTACTGTGACCGTCCAACATGTTTGAAGGCTGGTTTGCTAGTGGTGACCAGGATTTGTTAAAAGATTTCAGCATTTTGAACTGCCCAGAATTGGGAGGTGACCAGCTTTAAATATTCTTGATTGCTGAACAGGATGTGACTATACTGATGTAGGTTTGCCTCATAACCTGAGAGTAGAGCTTTTGGTTTTGCTATCCAGATAATATACCAAGAAACTTGATGAAGTTTGAAGAGGAGAAATCATTAGCTCTGGACTCTCTAAAGAACATGCTTAGAAGATCTGAAACTTCACTGAGTGAAATCTACTTCCCCGGGTTCATTCATTGCACAGTCCATAGTTTTCAACCTTGATAAGTAGAGTGGAGGAATTCTCTCCTTTACGTTGAAATTTCAAGTTGTACTGCTTATAAAGTTCCTTCTCTACATGTCGTGTGGAGAAAGGTTTAGACCAATGGTGGCCAACCTTTATGTTCAGCCCTCAAAATAAATTGGTTTGATTGAATATTTCTTGATGTATGCCATAAATGCCAGAAACATTCAATCAAGGAAAGAAAAACTGGAAAATCGACTACTGATGCAACATGGACTTGCCTAGATTCGTGCAAATGTTCGGGTGGGGGGTGGGTGGGGAGAGACTGATTCTTGATGGCCCTGTGGGTCACTGGTTTAGCCCAAGGTTGTGCAACAGCCCATGTCACATAAGAACTGCTGACTGTTCCAGGGATGCCTCATATGAACATTTACGGCCGAAAGAAGACCAAGGTCCATCTAGTTTGCCTTCCACCATCCTGGCAGTGGCATGACATACCCGTCTGCTGTTTTTGTTTTCACAGTGAATCATACAAATGTGGGAAACTTCCCATATGTGTAAATAGGCCTGTGCAAGAATACTTGTTCCTGTTTGGATGTATTGGGACATCCATTGCAAAGAGACTTCAATTGCATTTGATGGAAATCTATTCTCTGCAGGGAGGGGAGCTTAAAACAAAAGAGCTGGGGTTCAGACAATACAAGTGTAGAAGTTAAAACCTCTGATTCTAGTTTCCAGCATTAATTGTGTTCACAGTTATCGCTACAGTGAAAAGTTTCGAACTTTCTGAGTGCTTTAAACCCCTAAAAGGGGAAATGGAAAATTCTGGTTTTGAAACCAGTTTTTAAACCTTGTGACATAAATAACTATATTATGTCTTAACTATGTTTGGAGCTCAGAAGGATCAAGGTAACTTGGTAGCGGGTGAGATTAATATTTTGAATTTGAATATTGTTCTTAAGTACAGCCTATTTGTTGGTATAAGTCTAGCCCTGAAATGCTGTCTTTCGTATGAATAAAGTTATCATCTTGAACAGCTGGTATCAGGCTGACAGTTGGGATATCTTTGAACCTTAAGAGTATTGTAATTTTCAATTCTAGTTTAAATGTCGTTAGCATAAACAGCAAATTAGACATCAGTGTGCGTATTTAGATTCTAGGCTGCCCTGTACATTTGAACTCCTGGCTGCATAATTAATAACAAACTTGTAATTCAGATTTTATGAATTGCAACAAATCCTGCGCACGCCAATTTGATAACTCAGTTGTACGTAGCTCTCCGTGCAATTCTTACTTATGCTGAAAGAAATCTTTTGGTGTATTACAATTCAGAGTAAGTAAGTAAGGTTTGGAGAATTTGTATGAGAAGCTTTTCAGTCGTCTAGTAAACCCACATGAACTTTCTTGAATTTTCAGTGTAACTTTTTATCTCAACTACTTGTAGTTCAGGAATGAATGACGTGCCGTGATAGGTAAAGTCTTTTTACATGTGTTTGAACTTGTTATTGCATTGCCTTCTCTTTGGAAGAGGAATGAAGTTTGAGTGACTAATTTAGCAACAGAAGTGTAGAAGCTTGAACATAATCAGAAAAGCTAAATATTTTTGAGTACGAAAGGAACGAAGGGAGACTTTTAAAAAGCCATTTGAATTGGCCTGTCTTGATTTGCGGATGACTTGGAATTGATTGTGGAGTCTGATTTGTGGAAGGCACTGGGGTTGAGGGTGGAGGGTTGGCGGGAGATTAATTCTTGGAATAATGAGGAGATAAACTCCAGCAAGAAAAATATACGCATCTTGTGTATGGTTCAATTTACTGTTCTACACAAAGTTTAGTGAGGGTCTGTTTTTTTAATAAACTGTTCAATAATTACTTTCCACCATTTGATATTCTTCTGATTGGCCTCTGGGTCATTATTGGCCGCTGATGGTTGTCGCTTTTCCTTTCTGTGCTCAGTCGCCGTGAATACAGAAGAGCTGATGTTGATCGTGCTAGATTCAGAACCTGGAATCATCACGTTATAATGAGGCTCCACTGTAGAGATGTCCTGAATTATTCAAAGTTGTTGTACTTTAAGGGCATTTGTATTTTTTTGGTAGCCCTGAAATAAGAGTTTATTAGTGCATCCCCAATTGGTAGATTTTCAGACATGGTAGATTTACCTTAAAATTTGGTACCACTCTATGAGCAGCATATGCTTTGATGCCAAAAATTGGGGCTTTTTTTTGCTATATGTATTAAGTGCTGATGGGTGTATTATGGTAAGTTAAGTATGATGGCTTTATCTACTGGAGAAACTCAAAACCTAATTTATGAAGCTTTATAGCTTTGAGGCTTTTTGACTGTTCCGTGGCAAAATGCAATTTGTATATTGTTTTTCGAGCAAAACGTGCGTCTTTTTGCAGTGGAGTCCTGTAGCTCAGTGGTTAGAGCACTCGCTTTGCAAGTGAGAGACCTGAGTTCAATCCCACGCAGAGGGCAAAACCTTGGGCAAGTTTCCTTACTCCACACAGGGCCTAATAATAATCCCTCCAAAACCCCCCAAAAATAATAAATGGGTCATTTTCAATCTACGACTGTTTGTGGGACATTGCTGTGCGCAATTGGCTGCCGTGTTCGCCCACAAATATACAGTCAATTCACTTTACAGTGTGTTCTGTGAAGCGCTTTGGGACGTCCTCCCGACGTGAAAAGCGCTACATCAAATGTAAGGATTATTATTATTATTATCTTGGTAATAACAGGTAAGGTTATTCCTTTAACTTTTAACAGTATTGCAGAGCTGTTGATATGAGCAATAATCGTACATGTTAACTTGAAATTAATTAATTTAGCCCAAGTCCCATCGATTTTAAAAGGCAGACTCGTGTCATTTTATTAACTGTCACATATCTCTCCTTAGGTGCAGATGTCATTGAACCCAGCAGCTCAGATAGTCGAGGCGACAGAGCAGATTTCTGTCAGAATCCAGAGGAGCCCCTGGCTGGTGAAGAGTCCAGTTTTCTCTCTCAGCCTGTCACCTCAATAAAAGAAGAACAGCAGGCATCGACAGTGGCCAGTCTGAGAGCTGCCCTTCTCAGCAAACATGGCCTCATATCTGTCAAACATGATCCACAAGGAGGAGAAGATAATCCTATTATTTTTGAGTACTTGCCCCAAGGTACACATTGTATTTTTAAGGATTTTAACCGTAAGTCCACCTATTTCATTTACCATACCGTATCCAAAAATGTATTTTTAAATGATCTGTGTGTGTGTGTGTGTGTGTGCAGATTGTATGTAAGAATTTGCTTTACGTTTTGATGGGGAAAAGTCTTGTAATGGATGGTTGCTGCTTTAGTGTCTTGATAGAGTGCCACTCCTAGTTGAAGTAATTAATAACTGACTAGTTTTTAGCCTGAGAGATAAAGCAGAGGGGAGTGTATGCCAGATGTTGCTCAGCTGATAAGATGCTTGTTAAACCAACAGACCCTCTGAATCTCTCTATATTAATCCTGCTGAATGGACGGCTGTGATGCTTTTCTTTGTCGATGGTTGATTACAATTTGGGTTCTCTTGTAGTACCCTGATCCTATTTAATAAGCAACTTTCATGTAAAGTTTTCGCCCCTACCCCATGTACATGCAATGTTGCATCGCCTCTCACCTAGTAATTCCTTTGTAATTTAATCAGATTGATTCGGCCACCACAGACCTTATTTCACTCTTTCCCCCAAAGCTATACATGAATGCGTAATGTCCCACGTCTTACCGGCTGTCAGTAACACGATTTTCCATGCCTTACAGCAACATTTTGTACCTACTTTATATGCTGTTTGTAAGCATTTCTATATGGGTAGCTTGTCAGTGCAACATATGTTAATATTGTAGAATTTGAGAACTCTTCAGTAACATCCTTTTGATTTATAGTAGTCAGTTGGCTTGTCCTTAACAGTGCTAAGATGAAATGGATGTAGTAAAACTACTACATTAGTTTTACAGCAGCATCTCATTGCTAATTTGTGTTGCAGTATAGTCAAAAAATGTTCGGCTAACAACATTATATATATATTGTTAAACTCAGTTTTGGTAAATCAGCCAGGTATTTTATGTTGCTGGTAGTACAAGCATTGAAATTCAGGTTGTATTTAAGTGAAATTGCTGACTTTTAATAATGCGAACTATAAAACTTGCATGACTTCCAGCCCTGTTTTTAAATTGTAGTCTTTATCGTATATTTGGATGTTTAAACTTATTCTAATGTGTAGTATGTGACAGATAAAAGAAAAAGAGCTTCAGAAAATCTGTCATAAAATATTTGTCTTGCATTTGATATAGTGCCTTATTAATGTTGTTAATCCCTCTAGAGTTTCACAGAATATACCGTAAAGTGAGTGGATTGACTGTATATTTATTGTGTGGGCGTCATGTTCTTGGTGTATACAGTTCCTGCTGAGTGACTAGGTTGGAGGATTGGGTGAAAAGAAAAACCTATATAATGGTTACACCCAGTGTGTACATTCCTCCCAGATGAATACTTTTATGTGATTGTGACAAAACAAATATTTATCTTCCAGCTAGATCACAAATCTTGCCTTCTTTATCGCCAAAAGCTATCGCGTCTGACAGTAATAATAGTGGTGTAGTCCTTTTAGCCGTGTGCACTTAAAATTCCCCCTTTTCAGGCCCCCACTGCCATGCTTCCTCTTTGAGCTGGAGGATGTGATGAAATGGGCATGTCGTTTACTTCTCCATGAGAGCTGTCACTGCTCCGAGCTCACCATAGGAAAACGGAAGGACTGGTGGGAGAGTGGGCGTTCTAGCTGTTTGCTGCCCTGCTGCCCACTCGTTCCTGTTCCTCTGTGTGTGGAACCTCAACCAGTGAATACGCGTATAATTTTCAGCCGACGGGGAAGACAGAGGCAATTTTAAAAAGCCGGCGGGAAGGTTTTGCTAAAGCCAGTTTTGGGGCTTCCAAAAAGGTGAAACATCAGGCACAATTGTTTGAAAAGCTTGTTGTCGGATTATAGCGGAGATACTGCTGTGGGGCTGGACTGATCAGGATATTAACTTATTTCTGTCTCCTCCCTGCTCTGCCCTAAGGTGACATGGAGTTCCTGCTACTGTATTGTTCTCTATTTAACTGGTTGCATTTAAATAAAAATGGCAAACATCACTCAAACGGGGCAGTCTGAAGGAACCCATTAACCTACAGATTTGTTATATAAAATGTAAGGTCATCAAATATTGTGCAACTGGAACAAAGCTGCTACTTTTCAACGTCTTTTTACTGTCTCTTTTTTTTGTATGAAGTGGGTTATTCACTTGAAACAAATCTACCTTCAGGGGTTTTGTGGTTATTTTGCTGAAGTAGTTGCTGTATTCTGGTACTGTTCTACCTAAAGTAAATGTCTTCACTATTGTACCCCCTATGCAAATGGAGTAAAATGCAGTCGTGTTTCGGGGTCTTTTCCAGATCATTTTACTTTTCATCACAGATATAGTTCGAGGAGAGCTCCACATCACACCTTTGCTCGAAATAGATCTTGACTCACTTTAATGATTAACAGCAGCATTTTTATAAGCCCTCAAACTGTATAATTCCATTTAATGTTTACTGAAATAACATTTTTTTTCAGTGTATGTAAAAGAACAGACAAACAAAAGCCAGGTGGTTTACATGTGCTTCATAAGACCATATCGCTTGAGGTATTTGGCAAAGGCGAAATGATCACCACTGCTCTAGATTCGGTGCAACAGCTTTAGGAAGATCTAGTTCTCAATCTCTAACTGAATAACTGGCATCAAGGACCAGTAACTTGTTCAACAATCTGATTTTAATGGAGTAACACAAAGACTAACACCACTCTCGTGTGTTATGAGAATCCAATATTTGCATGTGTTTTGTGTAAAAGAAAATCAAATTTGAATTTAATTAAAAATAAGATTCACTGCTTGACTTGGCCAAAAAGATTTCCAGAAGAGGATGGGTGGTGGCTGCTGCTGACTTTGCATCAGTTGAATGTATTATAATACATTTTGGTGCATGCTTTCTTTGACCTGATGAGATCAAATATCCTGCCTCTTCAGACTGACTGGTTTGTGCAACTTTACTCTCATTCTTTCAATATATTACTAAAATATGTGCAAGTCATCTCCATGATTGAGTCTGAATACAAGTTCTTACCAAAGAAGAACTGAAGAATTGATGCAAGCGGCTTACAATTAATCAAATCAGCAGCGATAACTTCAACAATAATTCACATCTTTTGTTAAGGAACAAAATTGTTAATGTAGCAAGTTGAATACACTAAGTAAGCTTGTGCTCTTTAATAGGCATTTCAATGTTTTCATAACACCCCTGTGAACGGGTTAATACATTTTGCTCTTCTGAAGTCGTGACCAGCTCTAAATAAAACTCAAGAATTTCATTTCAAGCATGACTTCCCGCCCTCTCTCTCTCTCTCACTGGCAGAAAAGAAGTAACAAAACACTTTACCGCAGTGCATTTCTTTTCTGTCGCAAGCCAGCTGGTGCTAGTTTACGTGGGTGAGACTCGTTTCCTGTGTTCCTCAGGCCCTGGAAATAACTTGAATCATCCAGGAGGTACACATGAATTACAACCAAGAGAATTATCTCTGTTGGCTTCCCAATTTGCAACAAAGAGCCCTCCTAGGATATCACAAGGTGATGTTTCACCTGAAGAAATATCACATGAACCAGCTATGTCCTTATTACAGGTAAGAAGCCAAACCCATTCTTTGCACTATTATAGTTGCAAAGAAATATAAAAACAATGCTGTTAATTGGGAGGAGGAAACTAATTTATAGTCTTTGATGCTCAAGGACCATGTATTTTGGTATAAATTAGATTTGATCACTTCTGTTTGGATCCTGTGGAAAATCAGTAAATCTAAACTAGCATCATGTTCGATTTGCTTCAGCTTTTAGTGACTATGCATTGGTTTAGTTTTCACAAAATATAAACTATGGCCCATTTACCAATGCATGCTATTGTATAATTGCAGATCAAGGTAAATCGTTCAGAGGAAATCGTGCCAAAGGGGAAATCTCATGAAAATTCCAGTTCAGGTAAAATTGTTTCAATCATCAATTCTTTGATTTATTTTTTTTAAAAAAACGAAATCTTAATTTGTGCGTTTCCTTTTTCCAAGACCTTGAAGTCAGCATTGAGATGGATTTCTTAAAGGGTGAAGAACCAAAGATTGCGGCTGGAGACCGAAAACGTTCCAGTTTCTCCCCACTGCCACCCAAATGTTTGCGTCAAGGGCAGCTGCTAGCCTGTAGGTTCTGCAGCGTGGTGTTCAAGTCTCCCAAAAGACATCAGGAACATGAATATAGACACGCGTTGATGATGTTGCCTGTAGATGTGGACGACATAAAGGCAACCCTTACCAACACCAACCGCTGCTCGTTGTTTAGGCAAACACTGCGTTATCGCTGCTCGTGGTGTTCTGCCAGCTTCACTTTGAAGTCAAATGCAGAACGTCACGAGAAAACTGTCCATTACAAGTGCAAAAACCTGCATTGTTCTTTTTGCGCGAAATCTTTCCGTGACCGGACTGATCTGAACCGCCACGTAGCATCTGTACATTCCTGCGAGCGGGCTTTTATGTGTGGTAACTGTGGCAAGAATTTTGGCATTCAGAAAAACCTACTGAATCACATGAAAGTTTGTTACCAGAGTAATTTAACCCAAGTCGGGTTTGAGCTATCTGACCATCTTGCAGATGGTGATGCCCTGAAAGGTAACGGACAGTTTGAAACTCATGACGATGCATCAGTAATTGGTTCTGACCGGGAGCTTTCCATCTTACAACACAGTGACATCGAGTTGTCAGACGTTTAAATTGATTCTCTCCCCATCGTCCACGTATAGCTATTTAGACATCCTTGTTTTCTTTTTAGTCCTATGGATTGAGCAAACTAACAAAACACTTGGTTGAATCCAGACAATATATTTTTTTAAAAATTCTTGAGTATATAATCAGACTCTTCAGTTCAATCATTGAAGACAATGACAAATATTTAGCATAGCTCTGCACTTGTCTTATTAACGTTGCAGAGTAAAATTGCTTTTGAGATCACTACATACTATTTTTAGATTTTTTTGTACGTGTGTGTGTAAAAATTGGTCAGAAATTAAGAGAATTATTTCATATTAAATACCCAGAGCGACACAATTGAAGTTCTGCGTTTGTTGTCTCTTTGGAATGTTGTTGCATTAAAGAAACTGAATTCAGTTTATCCTTTTCTTTGTTTTTGTTCATATTACTTGTTTGATTATCCAGCTGCGTTACTATTTTGTTTGTTTAAGTATTTTAGATTTGTTAAGTTTGTGTGTTATGTGTTGAAGCAATTCTTAATAGTTACAATATAAGTAGCAGTTTTAAATGTTATATTTTAGCTGGGAGAAGCATGTATATTTCTAAAGATTATTTATTATGTGTATCTAGATTTCTAACTGTTTACAAATGAGAGATGTTACATTCGAATGCACTGCAAGTAGTGTGGTTTTAATATGCCATTGTTTTTCTGCCTTGACCAACATTCCTAGTGATTAACTTGACCAACTTTTACTTTTCTGTTGTGTTCGTGATTTTTATATGGTATGTTTTGTAGATGTGCATTGTTGAATGTTACATAGTTGATGCTGAACAAAATGCTGATATTCTGCTTTCTATTTTATACAGTACTGCAAAACATTTCCTTTAATTGTGAAACGCAAACCCTTTTGAAGATTTAATTTTGTACTTTGATGGTTTATTTTCCGACTTTCTCTTAAGCGGTACGAACTGGAGACATTTTAAAACCTAACTATTCACCTGATCTGTTCAAGGCCGAGAATAGTAATTGAATTGCACAGAACCACATAGCAAAAGAGAACTGTTTGTGTGAGTTTACATACACGGCATTGAATAAATATGCAAGCTGTTGTAAGTGATATTGGTGGATTCTGTTAATCATTTATTAAACATGAAAGCCCATTTTAAGAAATTGTAATAAACCTCATTTGGTTTCAGTATAATTCAGTTTTGTTTCCCCTCCTCCCCCAGTTTCCTGAGTTAATTAAATCTAGTTTCGTAAAATCAGTTTTACTCCTACTCTGAGCTTTCATCGGTTTTGCCCCCAGTTCTAAGTAAGCTTTCATTCATAAAGCGTCCTCTTCCCCCACACATCATTAGACCAACCAAGCAAATTATTCTGAAAATTGTCATCTGCATTTTTCTTTTTCTCTCCCCCCCACCCCTCGCCTCGCCCCACAGTGCACTTACATTAACGTTACAAGGTCTTGCCTCCTGTATTTTGTAGCACGGCCAACAGAATACTTTTCTGGGAGCACAGTATGTTCTTTTCAACCCTTCCCAACTTGTCATTGTGAATGAAAGGCTTGAAGTACAATCCTGTTCTGTTTCCGCTGTTGACTGATCAGTCTGTAGAAATCCTGCCCCGCCCCCCCCCCCCCCCCAGTATATGATTTATTCCAGCAAGCTTTGTTGGGAATTTATTTATGCCGCTGTAGTTCAAGCAAGACCATTGTTTGATTCAAGGAAGGTAAAAAGAAATGTTAATAGATTTTGCAGGTCTCTGCTATTGAGAGATAATATGCATGAGAAGAACAAACGTGCTTCGCCAGCGATAATTTTCACAGTTTTTAGAGGATTTATTAATGACTGCATTATTGAATTTATTCCAATTGTGTAACTGTTAAATGATCATGCAGGTATGAGGAACTATGGATTATGTAATATTTGGCTATTGGTAAATATTGCTGTGGTTTTATTATACATTAATTTTTAAAAAACAAGTCGGTAATTGTTGCCATATATCCACTTATGCCATATTTTGTGTTGACTGAAGATCAGTGGTAAAAAGCAACAGCCTTTTTTGGGTAAAGCCTTTCAGAATGTTGGTTTTCACCTTTGAGGTGAAATGGCGACAGAATGATATGACATAAGGAAATGGTACAAATTAATCCAGATTTGATTTTGGATTAAACAGTTTACACGTTTCAGAAATAAATGTGGATTAAATTAATCCCTTTATGATGCCTAGAAAACTTTGTCAGTCAGTAAGGAAGCTATTGCAACCCCCAAATGACCCATCGAGTAGCATAACTCGTTGGATTAATTACTGGAAAACATTTCTGCATATGTGAATCCTGTTTCTTTTTAAAAACAAGTTTAGTAAATGTAGTAGTCTCTGCAAAAGGTGTATTGCCACCTTATTTCATTGTCTATTTGATTAGAGTATTGGATTTTCCCAGATATCTGGTCTTTTCCTGACCATTTAATTTCAATTTATAAACCACCTTTAAAATAGCACCGTCAAAATTGTTAAAGTAACTGTTTGGTGTCATTGTGCAACAATTACTTGGAGTTTCAATGTTAAAGAGCTTGACACAACTGTTTTAATCGCCGGGTTAATGTTATGAAAGGCATAAGTGGGTTATTTCTGCATATAGTTCAACAGTGTGTGCTAGTGTTTAGCTGAGCCCAAATTTTAATTTGTATCTTTGATCCTCGTTGAACTAAAATTGGCCTCTAATTGGTGTGGTGAATGAGTGTTAGCTAATTAAATGTGGCAAGATTTTTTTTTTACACACCGCCACCTTTATAATAAACTAATGGGGAATGAAAGCAAAAGTATGAATCAGGTTTTTCACAACATAGATAAAATTCTCCAGGTAAAATACTACATGTTTAAATGGTATTTTTTTTTACATAGTCACTCCTGGCAACAGTTCTTTGAAAAGGGTGTCAATAGGATAAAATCTACAAATCCGATATGTATTGATTCTTTCATCCTAGAATATTTAAAAACGAGTGTATTCTTTCAGTAACTTGTATGGTTGCAGTCATTAGAAATGCTTAACGCCCGATAACTTCAAACCGAGCCTAATTTTCAAATATATTTCTGAAGCACATCCTTCCTACTTAAAAAAAAAGTCTGAATACTTCAGTAAATCATGACCTTGTGAGATTATAAGCATTTAGAAAATGCGCAGATTATTGTATGTATCCTCGACCTAAATGGCAGAAAATATTCCAATATCCTATTTTTTTCGAAGCGGGTGTTTAGAACTGATGTTGCTGTGTCTAAATCTCCACTTCTCCCAGGTTAGCTCTGCTAACCTTACTAATACATTTGCAGCTTACAGCATGTTTAACTCTGTTTGGACAGTCTAGTTTCTTGACCTACATTAAGGTGATGTACTTTGTAGAGAATAATACGCTTAAGGAATTGTACCTCGTCTAGACTTGCAGTTAATTCTTTTTTTGTGTGTGTTATCCGAATAGGAAATGGCTAACTCCCATCTTGGCTTTCAGAAACTCAAGTACTGGAATTACAATCCAGTAGAGTTGTTATTGAACAGCTTCTTTATTTCAGATGTTAGCATTTGTAAACTCTGATTCTACCTGTGTTCCTCATAGCTTAATAAACCTTTTCGTGCAGCCAGTTATCTGTAGTGCTACTCGTATAGCTTTTGGTTGCCGAGGAGGAGTTCCATCTTGATCCTGTAATGATTATTGTATAATATAAATATATATATATATATAAAACGGGAAGAAATCTGGCTCTCCTTGACTTATGGGAGCAATTTCTGACAAAGCTTTACTATTGCTATCAATTGGGCATGAGAAAGAACGACCGATACGTCACTAATTAGCACACGTAGTATTTATTGGTCATGACCTGAAACATTGGTGCTTCTCTTGTGTATGTGACCCGAGGATGTAAATTAATTTCATTGCGGACTGCTGTCATTCTAGATCAGTGCAACCCGACCACTGTCCTGGATTGTATACCACTGGTCTAGGCACACTGCTGATATTTGTCAAGGCCTCTGTTGGCATATTGCCAATTCTACTTGCCATCTTACTTTGCACCCCAGCTAACCCAGTGGCAGACTTGAGATTGAGAATTTTCCAATATTGTTTGGATGTTCAAAATGTGAGGGGACAATAGATCACATCAAAGATTTATTTGGGGCCAAATCCTGCCATCTTTCTCCTGTCCAGGTGGGAGGGAGGATGTGAATAGTTTGATGGGTGGAGAGTGGCAGAATTGCTGAATTACATTAAACCTCTCAGTAGAGCATCAACGTGCTCTGTTGCTCAGGAAAATTTTTGAAATTTGTTTTTCTTCTAACACATTTAGTGCGTCCAGTTGTTTTCTAACTTCCTCCCACCGGTTTATGCTTCTGTGCTTGTCGTCTGGGCTTCTCTTGTGGTTTGTGGTTCCGTGGATGCCAGTGGCCTATTGGTACTTTGCTTAAGCTTTGGCAGTGAGTGTCAATGGAACATTACTGTGGAGAGAGCCCAGAGAGCTCATCTGATGAGCCTGGGCTTTCTCTACTCATCTGTTACACATGTACGCAACCAGTAGAGGGTACTGCAGAGGAGCAGGCGGCTTGGCTGTTTTTCTCCATGACCGTGAGAGAAGATCTGGCCAATTTAGCCACAGCATGTATTCCCCGCTGAGACTGGGGTTCAAACCACCAAGGTTTGTAAGATGCAGCTCTATCCACGACGCCACCATAACTGTTCCGTTCCGAAACATTTTTAAGTAAGAGCTTTTTTTAAAAAAATTGTTCACAAGGAAAGAAAGATTTCCGAATATTTGAAGGTGAAGTAGAAGTATTACCTCTGCTGGCATTATTTGGGTATTCAAAATGTGAAGGTACACGACTCAAACATAAGTACTTAAATTTGTCAACTTGTGTTTTGTTCCTATCTGTTATAACTACGTATTAAGGTATGCAAATAACTCCTCGAAAATTGGTAGCATGCCACTCTGTTAGCATATGTTCGATAACAAAGGTATACGAATGTGGAAGGTAATGTGCCCACACAATACAGTCAAATCCACTTTTTACAGTATATTTTGTGAAGCACTTCTAGATGTCCCAACAATGTGATAAGGCCCTGTATCAAATGTAAGGATTATTAATCTATTTATAAGTGCCACTTGAAATAAAAACTCATCTCTCTTCATATTCTACAGTTAATGAATTTACCGTGATCAGGAAGAAATTCAAGTGTCCATACTGTAGCTTCTCGGCTATGCATCAGTGTATCCTGAAGAGGCACATGCGTTCACACACTGGGGAAAGACCGTACCCCTGTGAAATCTGTGGGAAGAAGTTTACCCGACGAGAACATATGAAAAGACACACGCTGGTACGTGTTATTCCTACCGATTAGTGCTTTTAATAAATTCAATTGTTTAAAAAAAAACAATAATGTGGTCACTCAGTTTGTGGGACACTGCTGTGCGCAATTGGCTGCCATGTTTCTTCCACAACATTCACACAAATCCACTTTACAGAATATTCTGTGAAGCGCTTTGAGACGTCTCGGCGACCTGATAAGGTGCTATATCAAATGCAGGGATCATTATTATTATGGTGAAATTTCAAAACTGGGACATGTTAATAAAAGTTTTAATATTAAAATTCTGAGTGCTCCATATCTCTATTTACAGCGACAGTTAATAATAGTAAGCTGCAGTTCTAGGGGATTTTGGAATCTTTTGTGGTTGCTATTTTACAGCAAAACCCAGTTATAAGGGGGAGTGTGCGAGGGCATAAAATTCCAGTCCGGTTTGTAGTGGGCAGGAAGTGATGTTAGTGACAACCTGCAGTCATTTTCTAGTCCTGCAGGAAGCATGTCATTCGGTGTTTTTTTAATAACCTCACACGTAACATGTTGTAATCCGTTTAAATCTCTCATTGTGTGCGGCCTCTTAATCTCTAGATACCAAAGATCACATCAAACACGTAGTCTCTTTTCAGGGTCTTCCAGCATTTTATTTGGAGCCAAATTTCCTCCTGACCCAACTTGTTCTGCTTAGGAGGATGGGAATAGTTTGAGCCACAGACTTAATCCCTCAAAAAAAAAGTGCATGTGTAGGGTATAAGAGAATATCTTGATTTCTCCCCATGAATGGCCTGCTTCGTTAATCTGACACTCGGCAAAATTTCCTCTGGGTGTGGTGCGCGGATTAACAGAGTTTATTTACGAAGGCTTTTTGTTTGACTTGATTCGAGATGGCTTCGTAGTTTTTTTAGTTTCCCATTTTTAAAAAAATAATGATTGTTTTCCCTTTGGACTATTTTATGATTGATTGGGTGGGGGTGGTTGGGAGTTTTTTTGTGGATCGCGCTCTTATATTAACTGAACAACAAATGACCACGTTTGATTTGTCTGCACAGGTGCACAGCAAAGACAAAAAGTACGTGTGCAAGGTGTGCAACAGAGTCTTCATGTCGGCGGCCAGTGTGGGGATCAAGCACGGCTCCAGGCGCCACGGAATATGCGCGGATTGCTCTGGCGGAAGTCTGATGTCTCAGCTGGATCACGATGGCGTAGACGTGTCTCCTGACGGGATATTCTCCGGGGAACATCAGTACCCCGAAGATCAAGAGGACGGCGAGAGGGAGATCGACGAAGACATGGCTGACGGGGACGAGGAGATGAAGTGGAAGGACGAGGATGGAGTGCCGCAGGCCGACATCATTTTGGACGACGATAAGGAGGAGGAAGAAGAGGAGGAGGAGGTGATCGATTTGCAACAAGACCAAGAGAACCAAGAAATTCCCGAAGCTGACGACAAGGATTTTGGGTGGATTTCACAGGAAATGTAGCGCGCCTCTGGGTTCATTTTATGTTCTAAAGTGCAGCGGTGCACAATAGTTCATTAGAGTGCTAGCTGTTTTACTAAATGTACATGTTAAATTGTAGTCGGGCAGTTTTACAAGAACATTATATTTACAAAGAATACTATTCGGGAAAAAAAAAGTGTACACCACAGTGATTTTTCAGGTTAATTGTCCACTTGTGAATTTAGGGTTAGATGTTGTTGTTAAAAATCCAGGGGGGCATTGTGCCAGTGGTTATCTGCACCTTTCTTTATTAAATTTCATAATATTTTTAAAGAATTTTGGTAATTTGACATTCTCAGTGGTTTTATGAGCTTCATATTGCTGTCCCTAAACAATGATTATCCAATGTGTCCCAAGTGAATAGCAGGATCCAAAGCACATTTACGTTGAGGGGGAATTAACTTTACGAGAGAGAGAGGGAGGGATAGCGAATCTTGCTCTTTGAGTGAAAATGTTTTACTGTTTCATTGATAACTGTTCAAAGTTTTCGTTCCCCTTTCCTGCAGCCCAAAATGCATTTGTGGTGATCTTAATGTAATACCCGATCTCACCATTTTGCGTGTTTAGTAGTTAGACCTCACAGGAACGCAAGATGTACATTCCCCCCACCATCCTCCCACCACCCCCACACTCCCACCCTCCCCACCCCCCCCACAAAAAAAAAAGCATCTCTACTTTGCAAACAAATGAGACATTCCTTCAGTCAGTAACATCTCTATGTGCACACAAACTCCTACCATAGATTTAGTTATCTGAGCTCGTGGATTTGAGGAAACGTTTTGAGATGGGGATTTCTTTGCTATGGCGGGTTTGCCATGTCATGTTGTGCTGCATAATATGCTCCTTTAACATTTTCAATGTTTATTTTTGGCCTTCTTGTGGGAGATTGAATTCTGGCTGCGTCTACAAGCCATGAAGCTTTCACAAAGTTTAAAAAAAAATTGTGCCAGATTTCTATGCTCTTTTAGGCAAAGTAAGGAATTAAGTTATTTGTTGCATTGACAAAAAGGTAGCACATGCTTTTTTTTTAGTTCTAATATACACTAAATACTGAATATATACCAAATTATATGTTTTAATAGAATTTACTTTGGATACTTTAAGTGCTGATGATTTTGTTTTTATTTAGAAACTGCAAAAAAACTGGAATTGTTCACTATATTTCAGAAAATCAAATCTTAAGTTTTGGCTTGTTAGTGGTAATATGTGCAAATCCCTTAATAAATTAAGCCATAATTATGGTTCCTTTTTAGAATTCTATATTGTCGTATTTCAATTTCTGCCTTTTACATTAGGAGTTTTGCCTGATGAAAGTTTTTTGAGTGCTGTGTGAGTATGCTCTCATATTATTTATTTTTTCAACATGCTTTTGGCTGGATTTGTTAAAAAGAGAGTGCTTAAAGCTGTTGAAATCCTCTTTGCTTGGAATATTATTCTATATGATACTGACTTTGTAATTATAAACCTGTGTTTGTATTCAAGATGTGTTTAATATTCAAAGAGTTAGTTATGAGTAGTGGGAGAAAATGACCGTACATTGTACTGATTTCTGTAAATGTAGTAATTACATTTTCTAGGTGATCATGCTTTCTGTATCTTAGGCATGTCAAAGGCCTGCCTAAAATTTCATGTGCTGGGAATAGCTTGGATATACTCGCGCCCAAATCAATCTTCAATAAATTGGAAATTGCTGCCAAGGCAAACCAGTGCTGTGTTTGTTTTGAAGCTGTTATTGACCTTCACACACTTAAGCATTGTATCCAATACAAAATCAGCTGCACATTTTGCCCACAAAATAGTCACTACACTTTACAGTACTCTGCGAAGCGCTTTGAGATGTCTCCACAGCGTGATAATGCTCTACATCAAATGCAAGGATTATTATTATTATTATAAAGGGACGGGCTTGTTATATTAGTTGCCTGTACACACTTCCACAGATGCTTTTATGTTTTTAAGCTGCTTTAATAATAATTCCATTAAACACAGTCCATTTTAGCAAAACTATTGAACTGCTAGCTAACACTTAACAACAAAATTACATTTCTTAAAACAGGGAATAAGTTGCAAACATCATCACAGTTCTTTAAAAATGTATAATAACTAAAAGAAAAAAAAACTGATTTCTCTGACTAGCAATTTACTTTCTTCGAAAACGATCTTTTGATGGTGAAAATTTAAATTGTCTTTGTTTTAATCTTTCCTCGTACATTTCCTCCTTATACATCCACGTGTGCCTCTCGAATGTAGAACGTCAAAAAGGTAAGTTGTCCCTTTTTTTTCTCGGTCTGTTCACAAACTTCTTTTCATGTTCATGTTACCTGCAATGCTGATTTAAATCCGTGGCTGGGAGATCGGACTAGGGATACATTTATTTCCCTTTGATGTACCCCAATATTATTTCCTGCTTTGATTAGGAACAGCATTTCTAAAATACATTTGGAAGATTTTGATCAGTGTTTTTGTTAAGGCTGATTAAAATATACCATAATACACAAACAAAATGGGAAATGGACTTCAAAAACAAGTCTCCTTACAGTGCCATCTACTGTTAAGACACGACTATAGCTTTAATTCTATGGTTTACATTTTGTAATAGCGAATGTTTTGTTATAGCGAAGACACAGGTTTCATATTCTCAGTGCTTGATTTGTACATCTATATGCACTGCGCTAAAACATTTTTGTTCCATTAACATAGGTCAACACAGTGGTAACTGATTACTTTAACAGAGACACTACCGGCTTTTTATTTCAGTAGTTGTCAATTAGCATTCACATTTTGAAAGTTTGTTTTTCATAACCACTCGACTTCTCCATCATCAGTTGTGTGCATATCACGTAAATCGCAAGCAAACTTAAAACTCACCTGCTGAATTCCACTTAACAGTTCCGAGGCTTTAAATGTTTTTTTATATAAATGATGTTTGAGTGTTTTCTTTCTGAACCTGATTCACTCGAAATGTCACTCGAAGCATCCCGATGATCCAGTGAAAAGAAGCGTAGATCGAAATGTAAGTCTCCCCATTCTTACTTCATTGAAGTTGTGCAACGTAAATTGATTCAGGATGAAGAGTTACCATTGTGACTTCATGAATAATAAACCAACACTGTTGGTGATTAGTGGCAATTAATTTATTTAGATTAGTGCTACAATGCTGGTATGAATAATGCAAGATGGCATTACAGGATTTGGGTCAGGAAGTTTGCAAAGCCATCGACTTTTATCATTTTGTTTTAAACTGCTGCCGTCTACAATTGTTCAATTTAGGTTCTTCTAAAAAATTCTTCCGCCTCATCCCTCCCTGTCCGTTTTCAAGACTTGTAAAGATTTATCTCACTCTATCCCGGTTTAGACTCCCATTCAGTCTTCGTAAAGTGCTTTGAGGTTTCTCCCAATGTGAAAGGCCCTGCAAATTGTTGTAAATTTAATACATTAGCTTCTAATCTGTGGAATTCTAAAAGATAGTTTAAAAGGATTATTATAATCCTAAGGATTATGAATTTCCAATGATAAAAATTAAAGTGGGGACTCTTTCTGTTAGTGGAAGCACATCAGGGCAAACTGCTTGGAAAGTATGCTGTGTGATTGAGAATTCCTGCCCGTGGGTCAAATGTGATGCATTTTTCTCTTTAAGGAATCACAGGTCTTGTGTGTGTTATTCCAGTGTTAAGTTGCACATTTACTAACAAGCGCATCAAACAAACACTTTTAGGGCTTCTCCAACGTATCAGAAACTGGTAATTATTATCAGAAATTACTCAAACGAAATATTATTATTATAACTGGTTTGTACCAGGAACATTGTATCCCCAACAGTAATAATAACTGCCCTGTTGCGCACATTTTATTCTGCAGTATATCATAAGCAATACGTTTGCTGTCAAAGAGAGTAAGTACCAAACTACTGGCAATTTAGTCTTCTTTATTTTCTGTCCCATTAGAGATACCTTGTGTCTGCTTTATTTTGCCTTTTGTGTTATATTTTTAACCCAGCAAACGTTTTTGTGTAACCTTTTCATATCTATAACATCGAAGCTACAGACAAAATTATAAACCTTGGTATCCATTGGAAGAATTAATGCTTCTATTCCCTACAGAATGCTGATTGACACGTGACCATTTTAATTGAAGCAATTTTTATTAGAAAACTGCAACGTAAAGATCATTCACTCCTAAAATCTGTGCAATTTCTATCTTGCAATAAACGAATGGGCGCCGTGACATTGATTTCAACCTCTTGCCGCTTTTGAGTGGCTCACGGTATTGCTGAAGGTACTTGGTATCAGAGAGGCCCTGAATCCCTTCTGATGATCAGTAAAAAAATATCCTTTCTGTTGCACGAGCGAGAAGGCATCTGGTGCCGGCTGTCAGATCTAGCTCCGCTGCACCTGCAATAGGATGCTTATTAACGCAAAGCCATAAAACAGCCTTCAAAGTGAATCAAGTCTGATAACAATGCACTCAACTTGCATCTTGAGTGAGTGTACTTACGATGGGAATAATTGGTTTAGACGTACCTTTACCTGGAGACTGTATTCCTCTCTAACCTTTGACTATGTATTTCCTGTATTCGGTAAACTTGCTGACGAGATGTACTGTCCTCTTGAATTGCTACGATCATTGGATTCAATCACCTATTTTCTCTTGCTTGTGGGAAATCACCCGTTTCTTGGTTCCAATCCCTTCATAAATCTTCTTGTGCAGAATTGGATGCATCGACTCCCTGTTATATATGTTATTAAATGGGTACACTCTTACTTCCCTTATTTTGGCAGGCATAAGAGCCTTTGCCAATATTCTCCATTCATTTATATGGATGATGTACCACAATTAGGTTTAGTGGTTGATTGGTTTACTCTTAAGTTGATATTAATTGGCTGTATACGCAGTTTAATCTTCCAGGCACTTTTCATGAACCTGGAAATCACTAAACACTCTCCCAAGTAAATTTCCCACCAGAGGCAGGTAACGAGCTGTTGTAAGATGAACTGTCAATGAACTGGGTCATACACCCTGAGCAAATGCTGATTGTTGAGTGTGTAAAGACTACTGAGAAATCATGCCTGAGAAAGTGGTTTGCTTGTCACAAACGAACTGAATATTCCCACTTTATATTTTCGTCTACAACACCGGATATACCTTCTGTCGCCAATAAAGTGTAAGAAGATAGAACCTTTTGCAAAGGGAAGTTCTGAAAAGCTGTCTGGTGTTTACGATGCCGCCGGTTTCTGTCTGTGTGTGTTTAGTATGGGCTGATCGTGATTCAGTTCCGAAAGGGTTTGAGAATCCCGTCTACTTCGGCCAGGAAAGGGTTTGCTCGTGCCAGATGATGAAAAGATCTCGAAGAGCAAAGAATTAACGTCTAGACACAAGTCGTGACTCAGTAGTTGAGCGCTGAGTGCAACAGCTTCTGCAAAAAAGTTGAGTGAGAATGTGGTGCCAGGAATGTAACATCTGTTAAAAGATGTCGCGTTGTAGGGAGAGTTGACTCCTGTAATCTTGTAATTGCAATTTTTTCAAAGGTCCCCGAGGCAGGAAGAGAAACACTGGACGGGTTCTAATAGCACCAGTATTTTAGCTGCTTTGTACCGAGAAAGGTCAGAACCTCCTTCCTGTTTTATGTTCAATGTTGCCCATGTACGTACATTCCTTGCATTTCCGACTGTTCAGTTCTCCTGTCCAATAAATGTGTATCTGTTACTGCAATAGAAAAATTAGATCCTTGAAACTTAATCGCCTGTGAATTATTTTTCCCATCAAGAGTGAAGTTGTTCCAAGATCTTCAGATGCAGACAGTATTTTTGATCATGTCGTAACGATGGGAATATTGTAAACTTGGAAATAATTAGACCTAAAATAAAATCCTAATACCTGGGAAAAGTGTCTTCCATCGTGAATATATATGTAAAATATAAGATTTGGGTCATGGAAATAATATCAGTTTGCGTTATTACCGACAAATTATTGTCCTAAAATATTTCTGATGAGCCCAATCCAAATCTCTGCTAACGCTCCCATTGAAGTGTAGTTCTACAATTAGCCACGAAAAGGCGCTAAAAACGCATTTCAATATTAGGCAGTGAATTGGTGCTCCATTCGCAACTTTGGAGATTTTTTTTAAAACCCTATTATAAATATTTCTTTCCACTGTAACAACAGGAATCTAAATATTTATATGAACTCCAAAATTCGCCATGCTCTTGCTACAATTGTTCCCATTTATCTTTGATCTGATCATGCTCTGCGAAAGATGATTTTGTTTTGTAAACTGGTCATTTTCTCGCCCTGAATACTGGAACTGGATGCAGTTGTAAGGTTATTGGGGGCTGAAATAAAGAGAAATGATTAATAACATGTTCAGATAATCATAAATGTCTTTGCCGGTCCTGGTGAAAATTTGATTTTATATGGAGATCAAATCTCGTTAAGATAAAACCACTTTTTGGTCTCCTTTGGGACTAACGGTGAAATCTGAATGTTGTAGCCATGAACATTTTGGTGTGATTAAGCTCCGCGAAGTACACTATATAAATGCAAGTTGTCGTTGATAATTTTGATTGGCAGTTCACTCTCTGGAGGTAATAATCAATCACTCAATCCACGACTGTTTGTGGGACACTGCTATGAACAATTGGCTGCTGGTGTTCGCCCACAATATATACAGTCAATTCACTTTACAGTATATTCTGTGTAGCTCTTTGAGACGTCTCGAAGACTTGATAAGGCGCTGTATCAAATGCGAGGATTATTATTGTTATTGTTGTGGGTAGACAATGCCTACGTGTTGAATGTCCCCAAAAGCATTTCCATTGAAACAAGAGCAGTTCTGAGGATCTTTATTTCTTGTGTTTTTTTTAAAAAATATGAAACCCACCATTACATTGGCACGTAAACCTCAGCAGTAGGCATGGCTGCTCATGTAATATATGGCAGCGTTTACAGATGTATGTACAGAAAAACATAGGTCCTTCCCACTCTGGTTAACTTAGTAATTGTTTCTTTGCAAAACCATCAGAATTTTACAACCCCACTGGAACACATTATGGAAAACAAATGCTGCACCTCTTCAACATTATAAAAAGTACACTACACATATTATCATCCATAATTTTTCATACAAAAGTGCATTTCCCCCAAAAGGATTATGATTTCTTCACCTGTTCAATGATAAAAAAGTCTGAAACCAAAGCTGGTACAACTGCTGGTAATACAAATCCTGTCTTCGAAGCAGAAATAAACTTCTCTCCTCTCTTGGAATGTTTACTGCCACAACTATGTAATACAAATCAGTTTGGCAATAAAACAAGCTTTGTGGTGGGTTGAAGTTTTCTTCGTATATGTGATGTATGGAGAATTAAACCACTGACTTATTTTTTTCCCCCCCAAAAAATAATGTGAAAATTAATGCAAAGAAAGCTGTAAAAGTTAACAGTTAACATTCATTTGTTTTCGCCATCAATTGTGGTCAGAGACCACCGTGGCAATGTGTATATAGGCAAAGCCCTTTTTTTTTAAAAAAAGAAAAAAAATCCAGTATATAATTAAAAACATTAGAGTCTCTTCCTTTTCATTTTACAGTTGTTACAAACATTAAAATCCTGAGAATTCAGCACATCTTAATAAAGTGTTCACGGAGAGACTGTCCTTTGGTATATTGTCATTCGAATACAACAATACAAACACTGATCAAAACCCAGGGTATAATAAGCCTGAAGGCATTTCCCTGTTTTCTCTCTCTCCAACTCAAGTAACAGATGTTTGTTTAATGAGACCCTGGGTCTTTCAAGGTTTAAGTCGGGGTGAATCTTTCAGTACAATTAAAAAAAAGAGTTTGAATCCTGATGACTCTCCAATGAACAATCTAGCGATTTTTTTTTCCACAAAAAAAACCTCTTTTGACATACAAAGCAGCATCACCTTTGTACTGCAACAGTCACAACTTTTTGGCAATATTCACTGTCAGTAAGCAGACAGCTGCTTGAATTGTATTTCGACCCTTTCGTACACTACCTTTGCAATGGCCAGTGACCAACTGATGGAAAGAAATCTTAAACCCTGTATTGAATCAAACTGCTAATGTAAGCTGCCAAGTTCCATTTGCTGTAAAACATTCGGCATCAATTTCTAACTGAAGAGTTGAGATACAATTGGTAGTATATATACGATTGAATTTAGCTTAATGTCCTGGTAACTGAATGAAGACGCAACAGTCAGTCAGCGTTGGTCACAGTCATAAATGGCAACCAAGCAAAACAAAATGCAGTGGTTAGCAAGCTACACTTACGCAACGGTTTAAAGGCAACTAAAATGATGGCAAACCCAGCACTGAACATATAGTGACCAAACATTTGAAACGATGGTTGTCGTACATTCATGAACAAATGAAACCATCTTCATCAGCTTTTTTCTCTCTTCTTTCTCGCAACTTATAAACTAAAGCTACACTACAAAAAAGTTGTATTTTTTTNACAATAAAAGCGACATTATTTACATCTCACACATACCTTCCTCACAATTTTTTTAATATAAGAGTGCATCTCAGGTGCCCCCAATTTGTTTCTCCCCCCCGCCCGCCCTCCCTCCCCCCACCCCAGAACTATTTCTTTGTGCAGTCAAGCCTAGTGCAATTCAACGAGAGATAGCCCGTTGGCACTTCCTGAAGTTTCCAGCTAAGTCTGAACCTAGTTCCATTCCCCCAAAATGCTCACTGTACTACATATCTTATAACGACATAAAAAAATTGTAAGAATGAAAAGGTTTTTGCTTTTTAAAAAAAACTCGAGACCAACGACCTGTGTAAGTGTTTTGTTGTAACAGTATCAACTGTCTTCTCATCCGTCGCGACCAAAAGCAAACAGAGAGAAATGTATTTTTTTTAAAAAACTGTTTCAAAAATCCAGCAAAAGCCAAGCTTCTAATTTACGGCGATAAATTTAATCTGCTTTTCTTTTTCCTCCCTTCGATGTGCAAGAATGTGTTTCCTGACAAGTGGAATGAATGAAAAAGCATTTCTTTGCCTGGGTCTCGGGTTTTTAAATGGGGGCGGAGAGAGAGATAAGAGTGTGAAAACAAGGTCGTCGGAAAAGAGGAAACGCCTGCTTAAGAATTTCAGCAAATTGGCAAAGATTTTTTCTCTCCAAAAAAAAACGGTGAACTCAACAGGAAATCCAAGCGCGATTGAAAAACACTGCAGGTTCACAGAAAACTTAACGAAAAGTAAATTGCCAGCATAGATTTTTTTTTGATTGTATCCACACATTTCAATTGCAAAGTGCTTCACCTAAACAGAGCCATGCAACACACACGCTCCCCGCTCCTAAGAAGTATTCTTTCTTTGCCCTTTACTTCAGTTTACTGTTCAGGAAACAGCGTGCTGTCAGATCTTTAGAGTGTACAAACTTCAGAAAGTGCCCGTCATCAGTCAACAAATCGCTGGCAAGCTTTCTTCCAGCGGCAGGCAGTACACCACATATCCCTGTTCTCCATTCCGTAAACTTTGCGACATTTCTTTCCTTCACCCCTGGGCTTTCTGAAAGGAGACAAGATGGAAAACGACCGGTTCACCGTGAGGAGGTTTAGATTTGGAATCGGTTCGTTGAAAAGCTTCCACTCACGGACGCGAGGTCAGGATTTGCTACAACAAAAGGTTATCAGGTCTAGTCTAGCTGTGGTTTATCCTTTGGCACCGATCACACTCATGTCAACTCTGAGCTACCAGGAACACATTTCAGCTGAAGACTACATCGATTTTCAAAGACGACAAAAAATGACATTTGTAAAGTGCCTTTCACATCCCGAGTTGCCAAGTGGGGAGGGGGGGGGATTAGGATCAGGAGGAGTGGAGGGTAGGGGTAGGAGCGTGGTCGAAGGTGCAGTCGAAGAGGAGGGTCTTGAGACGTGCCTTGAAAAGAGGCAAGGGAGGGGAGGGAGGGAGCGAGGCGAAGGGACTGTGGGATAGAGTTCCAAACTGTTCCGGCTGCCTGCACTGCAGAACTGACACCATTTACGGTGCTGCAGTGTTGTTGATAGTAACCAATACTAGTCCGAACCAACACAGGTCGAATTTCATTCAGTGCTGCTGCAATTTATGATCAAAATAAGTATCGTTACCTCAAGTTTTTTTAAAAAGAAAAAAAAGGTATTTCTAACAGAAAGCATTTAAAACAATTAACTCGTTAACTTCTAACATTCCATTTATATTTGCAAACAGTATGGAAATGTAATCTTTCAATCCACTGGAGGGGAACATGACATACCTTGTTCCTGTCCCTGGTTTTGGGGACGGTGACAGAGACGTATGTACCTTTAAGGACGGGTGAGAATTCTGCCGCTTCTCAACAATACTGATGGGACGAATCTGTGTTAAGGGGCCCTGAGGGTGAACAGAAATTCCAAATCAGATCCTTTTAATACTTTGCTTATTAATAATGTGCTAAAGAGCGCTGTATAACATTTATGGTAGTATTAGGGACAAGGTGTGTGTATATATATATATATATAAATATCTCTCTATATATATGTACACAGATACATTTATAGATTTATTTAGTCCCCGTCCCCCACAAAGGTATCTCAAGTTACTCCTGAGATATGAAAAGCATCAGCTGATGGCCGAGCACTTATCGACAGCTTGATTCCAAAATGCTCACCTGTGAACCTTTAAAAATGACAGGTGGGGACTGCAGTGATATGCTGAATCCAGTGCCATTGGGGATGAAGTTTGTTGACACCGGGATGCTCACAGGGGCTGTCGCCTGGGAGAGAACAGGGAGATTGTTAACACTGGAGAAGGGAGGGGAAGAGGGAAAGAAAAAGCAAGGCCTACCTGCATTTTAAACCATCTATTTCAATAGCAAATACATCTACGCAGAACTATAAAGCAGTGATAGTGAAGGATTAAAATCTACATATAAAAAAGAGGGCCTATGCTCTACTTTGCTAAATAGGCTCTGTATGGTCGCAGGAGTGTGGAGAAGATAAATGATAATCCTTGCATTTGATATAGTGCCTTATCAGATCTTCAAGACATCTCAAAGCACTTCACAGGATATATTGTAAAGTGTAGTTACTGTGTATTTTGTGGGCGAAACCCAGCAGCCAAACAGTTGTGGATTGAGTGACCCCTTTTTTTCTTTTTTTTTTACTTTCATTGATATTTTAATTGAAAAAGTCTGTGCTGGGAAAGATCAGGATAGTAAAACTAGCAGAAGGCAACCTTCAACTATTGCACTGTCCCACAGTTACCTATAGATTATCAAAGACTTTGCTTTCGAAGATAAAGATAGTCCCAATTATGTTGAAAACTTGGCCGTGGAGTGCGTTATAACAATTTTGAATTAAACAGCCCGATCAGTAATGCTGCAGAAACACTGAATCTTACAGCGACAGAACAAAGGGACCGTCTAACTTTAGCTTCACCAAGGATTCCAGGCAGACACTGCCTTTGCTGAGAAAATCGGTTCCTGCTTAAGCGTTGGTTACCTGGTAAGCATGGTCAGTGCGTACGTGAAACAAATTTGTCGGTGCAGATTGGCTCAAGGGAGTCACCAACTTCTCCTCCGTCTTCACCACGGTTGGCTCTGAATGTCTCGAATCTACGGCAGGGAAAACTGGTGGCATTGCGGTGGTTGGGGACATTGGCGTAAGGCTGCTCAAGCCATCTGTTAACGAGTCGACGTCCACATCGATCTCGGAGTAGTAGAAGTCTTCTTCGCCATCACAGTAGTCCGAATCCCCATTGTGTCTGAAACCAATGGACATAGTTCGTTGCAGATCCATCTCACAGCAAGCCTTCCATCATTTCCCTATTCGTCTTTGCAAACTGTGTATACCTCTACTGCTCGGTCAGTTAACATTACTTCATTTGTTAATTAGTGTAATTCGTATTTTGTTTGTATTAAAATATGATCGTTTGGATTTATTAGGTTAGTAAGAGCGCAGTTCTGAACGTACCCCAAATGGAGTGTGCGGACATGTTTCTGCATCCCTGATGATGTACTTAGCACCTTCCCGCAATTCTTCCACAGACACTTAAACATGACTTTCATAGAGTTCTGCAAGAAAGGAACGCATGGATCAATGGAAAACAGATACGCAACATTCCAGAAAATCCGACTCCTCTTTACTGCATCGAGCTAACTATACATCTCAATAAGAAGACAGCTAAACCACAGGGAACATTGTTGGAATCTTTTCTGGAGCATTCACTACACAAGTCAACAGTGTCAGGTCTAGTTAGAGTCAAGCAACTTGCGGATAACAATACAACACAAGTCCAGCTTTTCATCTGACCAGAAACTTCAGTAAAGCGGCTTCTGTGGAAAGCTACAGCAGAAATTGAATCTCTTTTGCATTTGACACCCGGTCTCTCACAATTTTTGTCCAATTGATTCCCAGATAAATTGATAAGGTGATGTTGTTTGGACAATTTTAGAACTGAAAGCCATATCAGGAGCCCTTTCTATGTCCAAGTTATTAAGGAGGATTTCAAACAAAGTAAGTTGCACACCAGAAGTTATAATTTAAAGTGAGCACTAAATTACTAAATTAAACTTCAATTACAGAGTTGATGATCTGCCTTGAAACCCTGAGGTAAAAGGTGGCTTTTGCAATTTCCAGATGATACTGAGTGTATATCGCAAATAGAGCTTTTGGGCAGGCTATAATAATAACAATAATAATAATCCTTGCATTTTGATATAGCGCCTTATCAGGTCTTCAAGACGTCTCGAAGCGCTTCACAGGATACACTGTAAACTGAATTGACTGTAGATTTTGTGGGCCAAATATTTTGCAGTTATCTCAGTTCAAGATGAGTGCTACAAAAGCAATTTGGGCAACAAATTGAGTAATTTCCAGCTTCAAACCCTCCCGCCCAACAAAATACTGGGCTGCAGATCTGCCCTGAATTACATCGAACCTTTCGTTTCCTGGGAGTCGGTTCTTCGAACAGGAAATGAGATCCTTCTGTCTCATCAATGCCGTCATCTGATTGTCCGGACAACGGGAATGGCTTGGAGCTGTCGCCTGGCAATGGGGGTGATGGTGTGGACGGGTTGGACTGGTCACTTGGAATGTCCCAACTCCAGTTACCACTGGTGGTGCTGCTACTGTAGCTGGCAGACAGAGGTGGCCCCTCCTTCAATACCTTGCAGTTATCTAGAAACCAAGCGAGATGGGAGTCCACTGTGATACATCCACAATTATAATAATTATCCTTGCATTTGACATAGCTTCACAGAACATACCGTCAAGCCTAGCGACTGTGTATTTCGTGCGCGAAACATTGGCGGCAGCCAATTGCGCACAGCAGTGTCCCCCGAACAGCCGTAGATTGAGTCACCAAATTATTTTTTTTTTAAAGAATTTTAGTGACCTGCAAGGTTATTTGCTGGAAGGGAAGCTGTTCTTTAGACTGTCCATTAGAACTTGGTGCTTCCAATGGCCACGAATGCTGAATCAATCTTAATGGAAGCTCAGAAAGTAAAGTGGAAGCGAAGGTTTAAAACAAGGTTATCAAAAAGTTAATAGGAATATTAAAGTGGACACCGCTAAATATTTAACAAATTGAATTGGATTCTGGAAATGATGGCAAAATGAGGTCTATAAATATACCACAATTGGAAAGTATAGAGTTATGCTTCAAATTGAAAACTAAGATGTGCTTTTTTAACTCTTGCTCCTATTTTGGAACTTTCATTTCATGATGTTCTTCTTCATTTGAGTCCACAGCACATTGTAAGATAAACCTCAGGATCTCTATTAAGTACTAATCCCCTGGAACATCTGCTTTCGCATTCCCTCAATCTTGTTCCACTGTTTGTTGCCAAACCGCCTCGCACTGCTTTAATGGTTAACAGAACATATGGGACTCTGTCCGCAACACAAGTCAAAGCAATGCCAGATTAAGAATTAATTTCCTAGGGTATCGTCCAATTATCTGCTTCAAACTTAGCGACGGCAACTTCCTACAAATTCCAGAATCGGATCAAAAAACTTCTTGCAGGGGGGCCAATTCAGATCCAACTAAAATCCTCAAAGTTTAGTAAGTCTTAGCTACGTCAAATACTCCCCGTCAAGTAAGGAGATTCTTCCCCTTGCCCTCGGCACAAGAGGTTAACCAAACTTACAATATTAGAGTTCAATTAAACTGCTGCTCTCAATCTTATATTTCTGCAGTCTAAATAAGGCGATAAAGTTTGTTTGGATATCTCTCTGCTTCTCTTCTTTTGTTAAGGCTCTCATTTTGTTATTTTCATTGATTTGACCATGTATCGCGATTCCCTTAGGTCACACCTTGCACCGTTTCTGGTGTAGTGTTATCTGAGTGTTGCAGTTATCAGCAAGAGTCCTTGGGATGGTATTTTGGGCTGGATTTCAAATGCTGAATGAAGGAGCCTTGCGAGCTTGCCAGAATCAACACATTCCCGAATAATGAAAAATATGAAATGACTCATTTCACAGATGTTAAATTAGACAACGATTCAATTATAGTTACAGTGCTACCAGACCATAAGCTTCTCCTTTTAGAATGACGTTTGGATCCTCTAGTCAGGCAAACGCTTAACAGAGCTTTAAACTCTAATAAGGGTTGTCCAGACCAATGTTCAGCTCTCAGAAGATACTGATCTTCCTTCACTTGTGGTCCTCGGATTGCACTGGATCAAAGCCACAGACAAGTTAAAGGGATACTTTTACTGTGTTTCCTAAACCGTGCTTTGCTTTAACTCCCACTGAGCTGGGCCTTTGTTTTTTCTTTACCAGCGCACTGAATGTAGATATTTGTTAGGACCAAGATTAGGCAGTAATCTTTGGTAGCTTTTCTGTTCAACATCCAAACACCCATTCGATAGGTGATGTTCTGAACTTGTATCTGCTGCAAAGAATATTTACACTTTGCTACAACAACAACAAACAAACAACAAAATGACATGTATAGAGCACCTTTCACGTCGGGAGGACGTCCCAAAGCGCTGAACAGTCAGGTGTCGGGGCCTGAGCATGGGGGAGGGGTGGTGTAGGGGTGAGGGAAGGCAGAGAGGTCGGAGGGAAGGGTCTTGAGACCGGCCTTGAAGGAGGCGAGGCCAAAGGACCGTGGGATGGAGTTCCAGAGTGTGGGGGCCAGAAAGGCTGAAAGCCCGGCTCTATTTTTGCCCTAGTTTTCCTGCATTTGTGAGGCCATCCTTCGACACAAACCTCTCTCCGAGATAGGCAGGCAAGGCCAGCAACCAGACCTCTGTCAATGGCACTCTGTACCTGGCAGTGAATAGTCACAGCTCTCCTTGTGCCCTCAGATGTTTTTTTCCCCCTTGTGTCCCTGTAGAACAGCACCTGCGATATCCTCATGGCCCAGGTGAGATCAAGACTCGCTATAAGGGCAAGTCCTGCGTCTCACCACTTATTATACGCCGTGTCAGTGTCCGAGTATTCCCCCCTCCCGGGAACAGGATAGACTGTAAAGTGAATCGACTGTATATTTTGTGTGCCAAATGCGGCAGCCAATTGCGCACAGCAGCGTCCCCACAAACAGTGGTGGACTGAAGTGACAGCATTATTATTATCATTTATTTTGAAGGGGTTTTTGAAGCAGGTAGTTTTGAAGAATAACGTTTCCTTGTTACTTCCTGCGTGATATCGAATGTGTCACGTTGACTGACTGACCGAGGACAGGGGCAAACCTACCCAATAAGTGCGTTCCTGTAAGTGGGCTGCGCACCAGCTGGTGGAAGGTGTTCGGGCTGGTGGAAAGACTGGTCAAGACAGCAGCTGCCATTACTTCATCCATATCCGCTTCTTCTGAAGGCTTCCTGTTACAGAGAATAATTTATATTGTAAATGACAGGTCGACGTGAAGGTCAGCTCGCGGGACAGGGTAGTGCAGTTGTCTTAAAACACTCGCCTTTCACCGCTGAGAGCCTGGGTTTGAATGCAGCCTGGACCGACGGGGGAGAAAAAAAAAGGCATATTTCTATTTGTTTCAGTGGACAATGGAAGTTGGCACACATACACACACACACACATTGGTCCCAGTTGCCCTATTGAACACAAACTAAAGTTAATGAAAGAAGCAGCTACAAAGCTGTGGTTAATTTCTTCCAAACTGCAAGCCTGGTGCTTGTACTTTGGACTCTCTGAAAATATAACTGTATCCGTCAACTATGAGATGGGACCACCTTACCCTGCACGCAGCTTTGCAATAGCAAACCGAGCTACACTTAGCTTGTATACCAACTTATAAACTTCACAGTACATTTATTGACATGCAAATATAAACCACCCTTGCAGTAGGACGTCCTGGGTAAAAGTTAATGATTGCTACTCCTTTCAAAATCTAAAAATGTGGAATTGATTTTCGCAAGGATTTCAGAATCACGGACACCTCCCACCACTCGCTACACGCTTCAATACATTACATCAAAACTGCCGATTGAATTCTTTGCATCTCATAGAGCATCTCTAATGCTGAAAGTCCCCAAAGCGCTTTGCAGGGAATCGCTGTTAAGTGTAGTGACTATCTGTAGGTGAACACGGGAGGTGAATTGGACACAGCAATTATCTTGCAAGCAGCTGGGAACTAATCGCTCCAGATAATCTGAAGTATAATGGACTTGGACGTGAAGTTAAAGGAATGTATTGTAAAATTTGTTATCTTGAGCTCAAACACTAGGAAAAAGGAAGGGAAGGATACTCTTCCTATCTGCTAACAGTATCTGATACAGTAAACCTCCCTCACCAGTCGTATCAGTTGGGAACCATACAATGATTATGACTCATGCAAAGTATGTGATGTGAATTATTATACGGTTTATGCAGATCAGACTTACAGGAGGTTTACTGTACAACGAACAGTCAGTACACATTGGAGTACAACTAGTTTGATAGTTGCCTGGAAGAGTCACGTGCTCAGAAGTCTGCCACATGCTCATTCACAAGTTATTAATCTTCAGGGCTGTCATTTGTTTTTTTTATTGCACGTAATTCAAGCAATCCTAGATTTTAAGCCCAAACTCAGATTCTACACAGGAGGCTAACTGAAAACACACATTCTAAATATTTTTATTGTGTAGCAAATGGATGTGCAGACACACTATTATAGAGCATTTATATCGAAGTAAAATCAGAACAAAACGCTGAACCCTAACTTTTCAGCTTGAAGACTTTTCAGGGTGCTAATGTGCTGCTAAAAATACTTTTGAAACGTATTTCCCAAAAGCTGGTACATATACATTTTTGTATGCAATGAACAATATTTCATATTTCTAAACCTTTCAAGTATTTGTTAAGTACAACAACAAGTAAGTACACATAAAATAAAATAACTGGTTACAAAAGGCATACATGATGAAAATCAAATTCAAAGTGGACTTTTAAATTTAACAATAATCCTGCTTTGGATTTTGTGCTAATTTCATCGCACTGACCTTATGTACAGGGAGATTCTGTGATACAATACTGTACAAGGAAAAGTCTTGCAGCTGGACATCAGGGAAAATCACACAGTCAATTTACTTTACGTTATATTCTGTGAAGCGCTTTGAGACGTTTCGAAGCCGCGATAAGGCACTACATCAAATGCAAGGATTATTATCATTAAGATGATGAAAGGGGCCTTTATTATAAAATTCATATTTCCAATTTTTTTTTACTTAAAACACTGGATTGGGAGGTGCTGCAGCGAAACAAAAAACATCAAGGGCAACTTCTGCAGCCAGAAAGTGCACTACAGAGAGAGAAAAAAAGGCAGATGACAAAAATCCACAGGATATCCCCCATCTGCTCCATGCAATATAACCAGTGCAAACTGGTTCTGTCTGTAAACCGAGCCAACTAGCCCAAAGTCTTGGCAGGATGCTGAGCCAAGCATTTCAAAATGGCAAAAACAAATCTGGGTCAATTTGTTGATCTGCAGGCCAGACGAGGAGTTCACCAAACAACGGAAAATTACCGACACGAAGAGAAAATTATTAATGAGTCCTTCGGGGTGGGGAGGGGAGGGGGGATACCCAAAAAAAAAAGCAGGTAATCTCAAAAAGTGCGATCCTTGGGAGCATTGAAAGCATAAGATCTAATCTCTTCAAAACACCTCTTGGCCAAGCTGCAGGCCAGGCAGGCAGGCAGGCAAGGCAAAGAGTAGCTGAGCCTCCCTCCCACGTTCACTCCTCCCAAGCCAAAGTTGACTGGCTGCAATTTAAAACAAACAAGGTCACAGTATTGACAGGCTCTAGCTCGGGGAGAAACGGGCTAGCTCCGCGTAACTGTTTCTATTGGTTGGCTTGTAGCCAAACGTGCCTTTAGAAGTATAAAGAGCAAGCTGTTGGCAAAGATCAGGCTTCTGCAGCTCAATCGCTCGAGAGCAGCTTTTCTGCAGCCATTTACACCGTGTAGTAGCAGGTAACGTGACACTTAACACACGGTGGAAACACCAGCGTTCACAAAATTCACCGTTCGAGTTTAGAGAGGTCTGCAAACTGGGCACTGAATTATATATTCCCCAAACACTGCGCTCAGTGCAGATAGATTACTGGATAGGTTCCTGTGAATTGCAAATAAACTTATCTGTTGCTGGGACTTGTGTCTAGACCTGTTCTGCAGTATGTCACTTCCAAATCAGCTTGATGTGCCGTTCACCCTTTGCGCGCTGGAGAATTCTATGCCTGCATCAGGCCCAACCCTGCATTCTCTGTGCTGTAACACCTCTGAATACAACGGCAAGTCCTTGTTCGCGGCCTGTAGAAATAACGATTCTTTGCCGCCGACATAGCCAGATTACAACTGCCTACACAATGCACAGACACTACACCCTTAACAGTAAAATCCTGTGAGGTGCCAATTAAATGCCACTGTGGTTTCTTCTTCAACCACTGGTTTAGTACATATTTTTTTAAAATAAATCTTCAAACCCTTCCTTTATGATTTTGGTAATGATCTCACGTTCTTTTGCCAAATAATTACCGACTCACCAAACGGGTGGAAACAGCTTCTCCCTATTTATAATAATGTTATGCGTTCAAATGTCCTAATTTATTGTTGTTTTCGAGCAAAAAAAAGTCATCATGTGTAAACAGAAAAGAGCAAAAAAAAAATTAGGCGGAAAATCAGGAATTAAAGGTTTGTAACAACGGGTTGGCAGAAATCAAAAGAGTTAAAAAAGACAGAATTATTAATCTCTCTTCATGGGACAACCCATAGCCCAACTGAAGCCAAGAATGGATTGAAACGTTGGCAAAAGACTTGCTTTCCAAGGCCAGATCCACTATTGGATAGAGGCTAAAAATTGCAGTATCGCCTTTCCTGCTGGTTTTAGTACAGTTAAGCCCCACTAACACACCAGATCCCAGTATTGATGTCAAACATCCCAAGATATGTCCATCATTTTTCAATCAGGTGCCAGTTAGGAATGAAATTCATGAAATTCCCGATCCCCGACCGTTTAGCGCCACGGGAGGTCCTCCTGACGCGAAAGGCGCTTTACAAATGTAGTCGTCGTTGTTGAAATGCCTGTTTTGCTCGTCTATTTTCGTGTTGCTTTTGCAGGGACAATACATAGTGCATAACACAATGCTGTGTGGATTCAAACAGTAAGGAGGAGGATTCACAGCTCCTGGCCTCACACAATTGGATAAAGATATTGCTACAGGTAGCGCCTCTTCCAATGTAAAGTAAATGCAACAACGTGAGAACTAAACACAAGTTGCCGATTAATCAAATGATTAATTAATCAAATGTGCCTTTCGGTGCAGTACTCCTCCATTCACGAGCTTGTCATTACATTCCCTCCCCACCTTTGATGCGTGGTGGACCAATGCATGTAGCAACTTGCCACAATGATGGGTTATTGTTGGTCAATGAAACAAAAAGAGCCCTTCGACAAAGTCAGCATTTTGGGGGTTTTTAAGCTTAGGCCACCACGTTGCGTCAGCTCGTAAATGGATAATTTTACATGTTGTAAAGACTTATTTATTCTGACTGAGACACATTAAAATGTGGAAACAGTGTTGATTTTCAGCACCAATTGGCAGAGCCATGCAGAGTGCGCATAAGGCTCGAAATTCTCCCGCTTCACTCAGCTCCAGGACTGAGCTGTGCTTGGCAGGCTACTCCGGATTGAAAGAAAATTCAGATAAGGTGTCTTTACTGAGGCTGGCACTCGCATACTCTCCGAAGAACTAGACCAAAAGTAAAACTATAGTGTCTTTCGAACAAGTTCTCTCCCTTGTGCTTTCACAGAGGTCTCACACCCGGCTGAAATAACCTCAGTCGCAAATGTGCGCATTATAAAAAAAATCCCTACCTTCAAAAGGTTGGTCTTCTCACTTCTTCCATGCTTGCAATGGATAGAGAAATTGATTACATATTGAATGTGTTCCTACCTGGTTACCCTCCACTCATGTGGCTCTTTCGTAGGGACCCAGATAGACATCTTGGGACTGTTATCTACTTGAAGCCAGTTTAACTTGGAGGCAACTTTGGGGCAACTTTCTTATCTTTCGAGTCCAGATTAAGCCTTTTGTAACCTTCAGGAAAACGCTTCTGGATATTGCGAAACAAGACCTGGAAAATATCCAGGAGCAATTGTTCGCAAAGTTTCTAAACGCTGACATTTGAGAGTAAAACCTGATAGTACAGAGAGTGCAAGGCTATGAGCCCCAGTCCTCCCTCTAATCACAAAATCACTGTGTTCTAATCTCGTCCAGGTTGCTTTCATAGGGGTACAATTTGCAGGATTCTCAAAGGTATTCCTAAAGTTATTTGAGGAATGCATTTAGGAACGCCAGTAGGTGGCGCATTTCTGCAAATTAGTGGCTTA